TTGTCAGTGGAGTATAAGTAGAAAACTGACATTACAACTGTACCATCTGGAAGGAAACCAAAAATGAGAAGGGGAGGGGACCCCTCAGTTTTGCTGCTTCCAGAGGTACTAGAAACTGACTCACTTGATTGGAAGGTAAAAAGAAGTGCCTTGACTAGGATGGAGGTGGACCAGATGGGGACCAGCCTTGCCAGCTGCTAGCAGGCCTGCTGTGCCTGGCTGAGTTCTGCAGGCTGCCAGCTGCGAGGCGGAAGTGGGCGAACAAAGGGGCGGCAGTGGGGGCAGCAGGCATGGGGAGCTGGGTTCTCCCTCACTGTGCCCGGCCCTCCCCACCTGTGCGCATCAGGGAGTCCGAGATTGTTCAGACGCCCCTTGCCTTAAACCTCAACTCCTATAGTGCCTTTCAGCGGGACCTCACCTCCTGCACGTGGCCCGCCCACTCCCCTCTGCCTCCCCAGCAGGACCCAGGCAGGGCACAGCGGGGGTTGGGCCCAGCTCTCTCCCTTCTCAGCCCCACAGCTGCTGCCATGGAAGCCCCCCACCGGGGCTAGATGGAAGGGGAGCTGAGGAGCCAGCCCCCAGCCCAGCAGGGGTGTGGGACCTGGGATCCAATCTGTGGCTTCCTGCCTGGCTAGAGATTTCTAGGCTTCTGAGAAAGCACTGGATGAGCCAGGCCTGCCACCATGCACCTGTGCCTTCTCTACTCCCGTTCCAGAGAGGCTCTGGTCCGGAAGAGGGGGTGGGGGTGTCTTCCTCTAAGGCCTGGGAAGGCCACCCTGACTCCACACCCCAGAATTTCATTCATACCAGATCATAGCTGCATTACTGCCAACTGACCTTATAATAACCCTGTGCACCTTTGAAAAGATTTATGGTTTTGAATTGCTGCTTTTAATAACATTTGTTATATTAAAGTTATAATTAATATGTCTGCTTTATAATTTAAAAGCCCCCTTTGAAAAATTAACTATCTTCTCCCAAGTGAATGAACTATCTGTCGGCTGTTGGGTACTGGGAGGAATTGTCTGGTTTCTGGTCTTGGTTTTCTGGAAATAGGAGGAATGACAGGACCCTATCTGGCCGCCTGCCACTCCTGCCGCTCCCTCCCTCCCACATTCTCCCCACAGTATTCGTGAGTACCTGACCCACAGGGGCAAAAAATATTAGCTGGAGGCCATGAAGTAAAAGATGAGGAATGACCTTAGAAAGTGACCTTAGTAAAATAGTTAACGTGCAGCCACTCTAAAACTACTTAATTAATGCACACAGGCACACAGTCCTAGGAATCTGGTGGCCAGGACCTGTGCCACCCTGGGCAGGTGCCTTTGCTTTCCTTCCCCTCCAGATGCCAGCAGGAGTCCCTGCTGAATTCAGCTCCCAGGCGTTCGGAGGGAACCCTTCCACATATACATGTGATGTGATGGGTTATTACTTTAAACTCGTCTAAACTTGGAACAGTTTGAAGAGAGAAAAATCGGCATGAAGGGATAAGAAAAAAAATCAGCTATAGGGAGGCGCAGGCCACTGGTTCCAATGAATTCTGTAGTTTCAGGAACAAAGTGTAGCCTGTTAATTGCCCTGAGTGTTCATGTGTGCACTTAAAAATCTTCATTAACTGTGGCTCCCACTTTTTCTACCATGCTTTCTGCTTTGGCCTTTTAGCTGCCCTTAGAACAAAACCACAGTCGAAGCTAGGGTATTAGGGGGTGGGATTATTCTCCGGGGTGAAAGCAATGTGATGGAATGAAACGTGAGTGGTCTGAGGGATCAAGAGATCTGGGTTCTAGTCCAAGTGCCAAAGTGACCTCCTGAAAACCATGGTCCTGCCCAGGCCAGAGAGGGCCTGGTTCTTTGTAGTCTAGGTTAGTGATTGCAGATTTACAACAAATGTTTACTTTGGAGTTCAGGAGCAGGAAATTAGAATTCTCAGAAATTTCCTAAATCACAAGTTATTCTTAAAATATTTGGAAGATTTTTCATATTCCCCCTCTATCATCACAGATATCTGAAAAAATTCTAACAGATAGGAATATTAAGCTTAGTAGTATCTACAAACAACTGTAGCCTATAGAGAATATTTAAATACTGGAAACCTCCAAGGAACATTATTGGAGTTTTCAAATAATGTAACATTCAAATATCCTAGCAAGATTAAGAATACATGGAATCACGTGTCAAAATTGCTAAATTAAAATTTATTTTGCTTCCAAAGCTTATTTCTCCAAAGCTCAAAGGACTTGTATAAAGTATACTATGTGTATAAACTTATTTGCACAAATAACTCAGTTTGCAGCAGACAGGGCGAGACCGACACACCGGGGCCATGGCAACAATCGCAAGCAAGACTGACTCGTCGGTAACTATTTCTCTCCTACGTCTCCGGTCCTGGGGCCTCCACCCTCCACTTGGTGTGTTGGTGTTTCTTGCTCTTTTTTGATTTGATAAAGATAGATTCCTTCAAACTAGTTAACATCTTGATTCTTTTAAGCATTAGTATTCACAGATCATTTTAATATTTTTTTTTCACTTAAGTGATTTTTCTGGGGATTCTGGATTAAACATGCCTTTCCTGAGAAATGCTGGGAAAGAATTCCTGCATGTCCACAGAGTGACTCGGGGACAGTGTGGTCCAGGGTAAGTAGGTTGGGAGTCATGCAGACCTGCAGAGTCACAGAACTCCTCTAGACCCATCCCCTGATCTGTAGAATAAACATCCTGTCACCAGCCTCCGGATCTGCGGGGAGAAGTGAACACTGCAGTATGTTTAAGTGCCCGAGTAATTTACTGCATACACGTTTTCAGAACTACTTGCCCACCCTTTGGAGTTGGCCACAGTAGGCTCTCTGGGCGTTTGGCCTACAAAAGGGTATGTCCAACCTCTCTGAAAGAGGCAGTAAGAGCATCAGATCTAGAATCAGATGTGGGTTCAGAGCCTAGCTCTGCCACTTATGTTAAATGTCACGCTCTCTGATCTCAGGAATCCTCTGCAGGCTGAGGAGAGCACAGAGTTATACCTGGCAGAGAGCTGGCATTTTGTCCTCTCCTCTCCCATTTCCTGCAGGCAACTAGAACACAGAGGCAAAGGAAGTCCACCAAGAAACTTTGCTGTGCACAGTCAGCATAGAACATGACCCAATGAAGGCCAGAGATAGAAAAATCTCCTTTGGAATTAGACCCACTTTAAGAACTTTCAAGGAAAAAAAGCTGGATTTTGCCAATTCGATAAATTAGAAAGTAACTGGGATATAGAGAAAGCTTTATTCAAATCCTTGAAACCCAATTCAAATTGGGACGTATTTGCCAAACCCTGTGCAAGAGATCAAATAGATTCAGACATACTCTTCACATCAAGCAGCTCACAATGTGGAAGAACCAGGAGGCGGGCTGTAATGCACAAGGATAACAGGAACACTGAGGTGAGAGACTCCTTCCAACCGGGAGGGAGTCTGCCTTGTGAAGGAGCAGCCAGATTTCCCAGGCGTTCCCAGAAAAGGGCACTCCAGGCGGAGGGGTGGGCCTGAACTCGGGAATAACGTCACACAGCATACTGGAGCCATCCACTTGCCACATTGGGCAAGGAGAGGTGGAAGCTGAAGATGGAAAAAGTGAGTTAAGGCATGGCTGTGAAGGGCCTTGAAAGCCAGACCAAGAGACTGGGCTTTAACCCGAAAGCAGCAGAGGCAGTGGGTCTGGGGTCCCCAAAGCATTTTCAGTACGACTTACCTTACAGCAGGTTTTGCTGTGTATCAGAAACATCTGCTGTAGAAAGTGACATCACCAGTGTCATTCCCTCTGTCCTCCTCCTGAGGTAGCCCCCCACCTCCAAATCCCCACTGGAGCTTTGGAAGGGCCCCAGCCTTAAATCCGTACAAGGTCTTCACAAAAGGGTCCTGGGAAATCCTCCATTTTATATTTGGAGGAACTAAGGTTCCAGAAGCACAGCAAGTGTCAGAATTCGAGCCTGGCAATCCCTCTCCACATATCCTTCCCTCTGGGAAGACCCAGGACACCACAGAGGTCTGTCGACCCCCACACAAACTGCCCACAGTCTCCCCAGAGTGGGGTTACCTTGTGACAGATTCGGGGAGGAGGCCTAGGTCAAGTCTTCTCACCCCAAAGGGCTCTGCCCCCCTGCCCACTTTCGCCTGAGACCCAGAAGCAGGCATAGAAGAGCACCAGACACGGGGTGAGCGGACTTGGCTTTACCATTCTTGACTCGCCACCCCCTTGCTGGACCTCCGTGCAGTTGTTTCCTTCGGTAATCTATAAAATGGAGACTGGCTTAGACCACTGGTTTACCAGCTTTTAACAGAGAAAACTTAAAAAAAAATCTTACAAGGGAGCTTAATACATGTAAATGATAAAAGACAGTTACACTGTTGAGGTATGGAGGGAGGTGTCTCAGACCCTTACCCCACCCAGAAAACCGTACCTCAGCTCAGAGGAACAAGTCTGAAAATCCCCAGTCTAGCAGTTCCACAGGGTTCTTTCCTACTTTAGGATGCTTGGTCTCAGTGTTCAAGTGACTAGGTTAGCACCATGGGCTCAGAACCTATGTCTCTAATGAGCAAGGCTCCAGAACCTTCTGATACCTGTCACATTCACGCTAGGGAGGCGTCTAGACCCACTTCCAACCCAGGAGGCTGTGTCTAAGCCCCAATACTCCCGCAGTACTGCCTCCACTCACAAAGCCCATTCCCACCATTCAGGAATAATAAATACCATCTTTGGCTGTAAGAAATAACCCTGCTTGTCCCTGAAATTCCACCATTAGCAATTCATCCTTCTGGATAAAGTGCTTGTCAGCTCCCCTAGAAGGTGATAGTCATCCCACACAGCAGATGAACAGGTCACTAGGTCCATTCTTCCTGCATCCTGGGTGCTCAAGGTAGGCCCAGTGACTACAGCAGAAGATGGCAGATGTCACCCTCACTGCCACTTCCCCTTGCCCCACCACATAACTGCCCTCGCAGTCCCACCCCCTGGCCACCTTTAAGCACGAAGCACTCAGAGACCAGTTCCACTGGGCTGCGTGGCCCAATCAACCCGGCCCCCTCCTCCAGCCTCAGGGGCCTCAGACCTCCACCTCCTCAAGTTCCTTAGCTCTTCTATGCTGATGCAGATACAGACACAGACTGCGGGGCTGCGAGGAGGCAGCAGGAGGCCCCCTCCCCGGGGGTGCAGCGCTGCAGGCCAGAGGCGGCCAGCGGGACCTGCGACAAGCCGCCCCCACTCAGTCCTCTCCCGTGCCCTCGTCCAGCCACTTCAAGTAGCGCACATCTCCTTGGTCCATGGGAAGACTGAAGACCTCTGGGACTTCAAAAGGATGCATGAACCTTGGAAAGAAAGCAGAGCCCTGTGAGTGACTATGATTAGAATCAGCCTATGCAGTTAAACCCAACTGGCCGGCCTCCTATGAGGCGCCCTGCAATCTACCGCGGTCCACCTGCCAGCCCAGAGCCCGCTGCTCCAAGCTGGTTTCCCATCAGGCAACAAGTGATGAGGTGGGCCAGATGGCTTTAGAGTCTCCCAGTCCTGGGTTCCAGTTCCAGGCCTGCCTCTGATAGCTGTGTGACTGCGGACAAATCACTTAAATTTCTCCAAAGGGCATACAAAGAGGGTGTAAAAATATACCTATATGACCAGGCTGGTGAGGAATAAGTGAGACGAGGCATATAAGGCACTTACGTGGTGCATTAACGGGCACCGCATGCATTCATTTATATGTTCGTTACTGTCTGTATCACTATCCCACACTCTTCAGTGTGCCTTCCCCAAACAACCCCCTGTATCTCTGCATCCTTTTCTCCACCAAGAAAGTTCTCTGTTCATCACTTACAAGCCTATCTATCCTTCAAGGCCCAACTCAACCACTGATCTCCCAGGGATCTTCCTTGACCATCTGAACCTACAGGAAGTTCTCCTTTCTCTCTGTTCCTTTCACCTGGCCCTCAGCACACAGTGCAAGTTCTCTTCACTTCTTAAACTAAAGAGATAAGAGGCCTTGGGCCTCAGTCCCCATCTGTCAAATGGGGAAAATAATCCCTGCTTCCTTTCCAGTGAAGGAGGCACTATAAAGTTCCCATGAGATAGCATGCTTAGTAAATCCCAACACATGCACGCATACTTAAACATCTGGAGTTGGGGTGACTTTATCCAGTGACCAAGGATAATGAATTTTCTTACTTCAGGGCACATGTCAGTGTATATGTTTGTTTTCTGCTGGTTTTTTTTTTTTTAAGACCTTATTGGGTTTACTCAATGATTCACAAACCAAGCAGCACCCCTCTAGCAAATAGAAAAGGAGCTCCCTTAGGTATGTGTTTTTATTAGCAGACATACAGAACCCAGTTTGTGTATGAAGGCAGTATTTGGACACACAGAATAAGACTATTTTAACACGTTAGTAGTAAGGGCTGCCGCTGATACAGCACTTTGTGTGTACACTTCACATAAATTCATTCCAATATGCCAAACAGCCCAAGGTGCTAGTACAGTCCCCATTCTACAGATGGGGCAAGTGAAGAACAGAAAAGGTGAATAGTTCACATGCCCATATTATGCTACAAAGAGCAAGTAGAGAAGCCAGGATTTGACCCTGGAGGTCAAGCTCTGTGGTTCACTCCCTTTACCATGAAGTTGCCCCTCACCAGTTAATCTATAATTTCTTGACAGTGTTGGTTCTACCAAAGGGGCCTTACTCCCCCACCTCTGCTAAGGTGGTAACCTGGGGGCCTTCTCTGCTGTGAGATTTGAGATCTGGGTATAGCCTGGCTTCCTAAGAAGTGAAGGAAAAGGGTTTCATCATCCAGAGAGGAACTTGCATCCCTGGCTACACATTAGAGTCGATATGGGAACTGAAGAATACCATACTTGATCCCCATGCCAGATGAATTAAGTCCGAATCTGAGGTGGGGCCTACACTGGTAGTTTGAAAAATGCCTCCAAGTGATTACAGTACACAGCTGGCACCAAGAATCACTGACTTTTTTTCTTTGAAACAGAGAGTATGCATGTATTAGTGAGGGGCAGAGAGGGAGGGAGACAGAGGATCCGAAGCTATGCTGACAGCAGAGAGCCCAATGTGGGGCTGGAACCCATGAACCATGTGAGACCATGACCCAAGCTGAAGTTGGATGCTTAACTGACTGAGCCACCCAGGTGCCCTGAGCATCACTGATCTAAGCCAGTGCTTCTCGAGCTTTACTGTGCATAGGAATCCCATGGGGATCTTGTTAAACTGTAGTTTGACTTATTAGTTTGGGGTGAGAGTGAGGAGGCAGTCCTAGCAAGCTTCCAGGTGATGCCAATTATTCCCCAAACCACATTGTGAAGAACAATCTAGACCAGCAGTTCTCAGAGTGAGGCCCACTGATCCCTGGGGAATTCTGACACTCTGCCAGGTCCATGGGGCCAAAACTATTTTCAGAAAAATACCAATTTTTTTAAATTGTTTTAATGTTTGTTTATTTTTTGAAAGAGGGAGAGGGAGACACAGAATCTGAAGCAGGCTCCAGGCTCTGAGCTGTCAGCACAGAGCCCGATGTGGGGCTCGAACTCACAAACCATGAGATCACGACCTGAGCCAAACTTGGACATTTAACTGACTAAGCCACCCAGGCGCCCCTGAAAAATACTGATTTTCTATTAATCTTCTTACTGTGTGGACCTGTGCACTGCTGGTGAGAACAGCGTCGGCTGTTGGCCAACAGACTGTTGGCCCCCGGGTGTGCGGCAAGGCAATGGCACCGTACCATGAGATCCGTCACAGGGCTCTTCACCGCAGATTTCATACAAGTCACTTTCACTTAAGAACATCCTCTATAAAGCAGTGAAGATTACTATTGCTATTACATTTCAACCCTTGACTGCATTTCTCATTCATGTCATGTGATGAAATGGGAAGTTCACACTGGGAAGTGCACACTAAAGCACTTCTGCCATATACCAAAGTTCAATGTTGTCTTAAACCTGCCTGCCTGTTTGAGCCGCAAGCCAGACTAAACAAACTACACTTTTTTTTTCATGGAACACCATTTTGACTTTCAAGCCTGAGTGACCATAATTTGTCTGTCCTGTTTACAAATGCTGGTTACTGAGGTTTGAGCATTAGGCAGACTTTTTTCTAGTATGAACAAAGTGAGACCATCACTCAAATGAAGACAACTGATATCATTTGCTGTGGAAAAATTCATGTTTTCAAGCAAAACTTGAAAGTTTGAGTTTATCATCATGAGCATGAAAGTGTCCCTGTACTTAAGAGAGAGTATGTTTTCTGAGGAGATGCAGCTTTCTTGACAAGCCAGATTTTGCTAAAATGTAAAATGATACCATTTTTCTCACTTTTTTGTTTCTTGGAAAATATGGTTACTTTCCATAAGAACACATTACTGATGTTCATATAGAACAGTTTTGTTATTATAAGTGAACTAAAACATATTTTTAATTTCTCAGTTTTAATTTCTAATGCAATAAACTTTAATGTAACCCATATAAAGAAAGCTCCTCTGGGTCCTCCATACTTTTTAAATGTATAAAGGGATCCAAAGACCAAAATCTTGAGGACCACTGTCTCCACTCACTCACTCTCATTTTATAGATGGAGAATCTCAAGGACAGGGTTGGTGACTAGGCTCTAGGTGTCTTGCTTTTCAAGCCCATTCACTTAGTTCCCAGGAGGTCCCTGGCTGAGAAGGCAGGCCAGCATTACCTGATATAGCTGGACAGCATGCGGACCTTGGAAGTCTTTGTCTTTATTAGCTGTAAAAAAAAAAAAAAAAAAAAAAAAAAAATCCCTGCTTTAGGAAGGGCCTCAACCCCAGCTGTGCAGCTACCCATCCATCTGGCCATTCTGGAGACCACATTCGTCCAGGTCACCAGGCACCTAGGGCACCTGATGTGGGGCAAGAACCTCAAGCAGTTGATCTTTGCTCATTTTTAATTGGAACCTGGGAACAGTCCTTGGTCTCACTCTTCACTGAGGCCCCAACCACCCCCCACCTCCGCCATCCTCACTCACCAACAGGAACTCAGTGGCTTCTTCGATTTCTCCATTCCAGAAGTACCTGGAGAAGAGAACAAAACCAAATTATGAGGCTCACAAGATGAGCCCAGGGAGATGACAAACCTGGCCCGATTAGGTGACTTACTAAGGTGGAAACATTAAAATGCTTCCAAGCCCACACAAAAAAATGTCTACAATTGGCTAAGTCCCCAGAGGTCATCTACTCCAACCAGTCTAATGCATGCTTCTAGCAGCTGTCTAAACATTCCTGAATATTCTATCTCTTGAAGGCCGTCGATCTGCCTTATAGGCTTTCACCTGAGATGGTTTTCCTTATGGTTTGCCAATGTCTGCCACTCAGCTGTTTTCTCTAACTTCCTCTTCATGTGGAAACTCCTGCTTTCTCTCCTCCAAAGTGGGCATTTCCAGCTCTTTCTATGCTCATCCTATACTCACAACTTCCAGGCCCCTCCCATCCTTTGGACTGGTGCTACTTTTATCACTCACTCTCTAAGTGGAGTGTCTACAAATGGATAACTAAAAAAGCACAGGAGGCTTCAGGGGAAAAGTCAGCTTTGTAACATATGGAAGGAAATAGGCCCAAAAGTGAAAAAAACAAAGTCAGTAACGATGTTCAGAAAAGAGCAGAAAAACAGCATCACTGGCAGGGAAAGAAATTTGGCCTGAGAATAGCTACACTGACCCAGGGCAAGCCTAAGAGGACCTAGGCCATCGGCACTGTGGTGAAGGGATCAATTATAAAAATGATGGACATATGAAGGGAATGCAGGGCTGAAATTCTGTTCTAGCTCCCAAGCACTGGCTTTATGTGAATCACCTACATAATTTTTTTTTTTTAATTCAGTAAGCCAAGCCCGACCCCCAGGGAGAATGACTGAGTAGCACCAGGATGGAGCTCAGGCCTCTGAAACACAGCCACGTATGGCTGTGCTGACAGCTCAGAGCCTGGGGCCTGCCTTGGACTCTGCGCCTCCCTCTCTCTGTGTCCGTCTCCTGTTCGCATTCTGCCTGTCTTTTTCTCTCTCTCTCTCTCTCAAAAATAAAGATAGATAAATAAATAAACAAACAAACAAATAAAATAGCCACACTTGGGAACTATAGCTATAGATGATGTGAGCCGCTGAGGGCAGGGCGTTGTTGGGGGGTGGAGGGAGCTTTCATTACACAGCACTTTCCTGCTCTGACCTTTAGAGTAGGTATTATTTCTCTCCCCCTCCCCAACCAGGGGAGAAACAGGCTGATCAGAGATATCAAGGCATAAGACAAATCCTGCACAGCTAGTACTGGGATGCTGAGATATTTTGATAAGAGAAACAGTATAACCAGGATTAACTAAAGTGAGGGTGTTAACAAAATGAAAGGCAGACACCACAAAGAAGCACCTTGTCATAGAAGCTAACCTCTGAGTTTTCCACAGAATTCAAAAGCAGCAGGAATTATTTTCTTTGCTATCCCTAATAGGCTTACTCAGGGATGGAATGCCCAGTCTGACTTATTTTCTTTTTAAATTTTTTAATGTTTATTTTTGAGAGGGAGGGAGAGAGAAAATGAGCAGGGGAGGGGCAGAAAGAGAAGAAGACACAGAATCCACAGCAGGCTCCAGGCTCTGAGCTGTCAGCATAGCATCCAATGTGGGGCTCAAACCCAAGAGCAGTGAGATCATGACTTGAGCTGAAGTCGGACACTTAACTGACTGTGCCACTTAGGTACCCCCAGTCTGACTTCTTTGATAATAGCAAGCTAACTAATTTAAACAAAGAATGTTGGTTAAGCATCCAGCTCTTGACTTTAGCTTAGGTCATGATCTCGTGGGTCAGGGGTTTTAGCCCCGAGCTGGGCTCTGTGCTGGCAGTGCAGAGCTTGCTTGGGATTCTCACTCTCTCCCTGTTTCTGGCCCTCAGCCGCTCGCATGTTCTGTCTGGCTGTCTCTCTCTCTCTCTCAAAATGCATAAACTTAAAAAAATATTTTTAAACAAAGAATGTGCAAACAAGATTCATTGTTCCTAAACTATATTTTTTTCCTCCCTTCTGTTTACATAGCCTATTTTTGCTTTTATTAGTTGACATAAATCCACTAATTGATTTCCTCTGAATATAAATTAACAATGAACTCTTCATCAATCAAATGCCTTTGAGTTGTTCTTTAACAATGAACATTAGTCCATTGCTCTTCCCACCGGCCAGGACCTGACCTAGCACTCCCTCATTCTTCCACAGACTCACAGAGAGGATGCCATGGGCAGGATGTTCACAGAGGCAGCCAGCTTCTTATCCAGGATAGCCCTAAAGCAGACAGAGAGAGAGACCATCACCGAGGGAAATACCCAACATCTTAGGAAAAGGGACATGGGACAGGAGTTCCTGGGAATTACGCAGGAAACCAGAGGCTAGTAGATAACCATTTAGAGTGCCCCTTCCCCTAAAACCAACACATTCCACAACAACCAGGCACAGAACTTCTAAAGACAGTGCTATTTGTAAGTCCTCCCCTGGGTGGGGAGAAAGGTAGGGAAGTAGCTAAGGGAAGGCAGTTTTAAGGCCAGGCCCAGTCTGCTTGTGGAAGGGGAAGAGATCAGCACTGGACAGAGCACAAGACCGAGACTGAGTTCCTGGCCCTGCAATGGATGGCTGTGTGACCTTAACCATGTTCTGTCTTTCATTCCAAGAAAAAGTATTCGTGAATCTGAGATAGGCATGTCCCCTTCATTCAAGCTGCCTCTTCTGCTGTATAGTTCTAGTAACAAGATAGGTTCAGTCAGCGGCTTCCAATCCTTTCACAGCCAAGAACTCAAGTTTATTCTATCACCATCTCCTGCTTTTAACTCCGGATATGTACCAGGCTGACACTGCTTCTGATCTGTAGACACCCACATGACCACATAGAACAGACATAAATCCAAATAAAAGCAAAACTCCATCATATCTCTTTTCACCTTTCATTTTGGAAAGGTTTCTACCACAGCCCTAAGAGCACAATCATCACCCTTGCAGACCTCTAAGATTTTTTTTTTCCACAGACCATAGGTTGGAATTCCTGGTCTGATAGTCTGATTCTGGTGCAGAGCCCTGGTGAACACAATCACATGTGCCTGAATGAGTACAGGTGTCACGGAAATAGGAGCACGACCAAATTGTCAATGTGAAGAGGTGTTCCCAGACATCAAAACCTCAAGCCCTCAGAATCAGGCAGGCCTTGGCAAACATTTCTCAAGTCTCAGGCAGCCAACGGGGCCTGATCTATTCTCTGAAGTGCTTGAACCCTGCCAGGGAAACCTCATCTGAGCCCTGCTCACTGATCCCTCATGCCCTCAGCTGTTGCCAAGAGTACTGACCTACTTTCTCTTCCATGAGTTCCAGGCTCAACACTGTTCTATTTAAGCCTCCACATTAACATGACAGTCCCTTGGAAAGTTCCAGAGATAAATAAATCCCTGGACTGTAAGGAGAGACACATGGCACAAATCCGTTTAAGCAACTGCTGCAACTCTTGCTCACTCAATCGTCCACTGAGAAATTACATTTTATTGGTCCTGACGGTGGCAAGGAAACACAGGGGTTTAAACCTTTTAAAAAAATAATCCCAGTGTCTCACAGGCCGAGAATGTAAGCTCCTCAGAGACTGTCACAGCAAGTTGTCCATGGGTAAAAGACTAGAAATATGGAGGGCTATGGCCAAAAAACAAAACCAGAGTGTGAGAGCAAGAAAGAGAACATTAACTGACTGACAACATACACACACACACACACACACACACTAAGATAAGCAGCGAGTCACAGGTAGGAGCTTTGTCCTCATGCTCATTTGAGGAGAGCAGAAGATAGAGAAGCATAGCACCTCGAGAAACTGCCAAATCCATAGCCTAGTGAATCACAAACCACATACATGGTCTGGCTGTCACAGAATTTAAAAAATTCTTGATTTTGTTACTAATATTTACTATCAGGATATTTCACACTCAAAAGCTAAGAGATTACCAGGGCATCTGGGTGGCTCAGTCAGTTAAGCCTTCAACTTTGGCTCAGGTCATGATCTCATGGTTCCGTGGGTTCGAGCCCTGCATCCGGCACACTGATATCAGCACAGAGACTGCTTCAGATCCTCTGTCCCTCTCTCACTTTGTCCCTCCCCTGCTGTGTGTGTGTGCATGCACACACTCTCTCTCTCTCAAAAATAAACATTAAAAAAAAATACAGATGATCTTGCTTCTCACCAGAAAGTGAGTCTTGTAACATTGGACATCCTGTCCTCCAAGGTCACATTTAACTAGAGCTGAGCAGTGTCTATTCCCTCGAGGTGTGACATCCACTTCTCAGGTCAACACTGTTCCCACTGCCCTCCTTCCTCCCAATGCACAGGAACAGTCAGGGCTGTTATCCACCATCGCCCTCCCGCAGTCTACCCCAGCCCACTTTGCTCACTTAGGGGCCTGCTTGTACGTATTTGTGTTTGCGCCCCTGCTCTGATCCACTTCCCTCTATATGGAGGTCGAAGCCCAGAGAAGGCCATATGTGCAGTGGGCAGCAGAGGGGACTCTAGAATCCAGGTCTTCTGATTCAACATTCAGGATTTGTACTCCAGCCCCAACAAGAGATGTTTCTAGTTAATCTTTCTAGCTAAGAATGTGTCCGTCAATGAAGAGATCTAAGGACACTGCCAGCAACCAGAACTGAACTGACCCAGAACTGAGAGGCAGCAGACCAAGCTTTAAAGTACACTAGAGAAGAAAGACTACCGACATGCAGCTGAGAGACCCGGTCTCAGTGCTGGCTCTGCAGCTCAGGCTGGGCTTCCCGCCTGCTCCTGGTGACGGGCCCTCCGTCACATGCCATCGACTCTGCTTCTGCAAATCCTGGGAACTACACCCACTGGCCTCTTTTCTATCCAAACCATTAATAAAAAATACCAAACAAAACAGGCTGAATGAGAGCGCCACAGACACATTCCTAAAGGCTCCGCTTCAGACTTCCAGTCCCACCGGGTGGACTAAACAGATGCTCCATCCTCCCTGTGACACCAAAGCCTAGAAGCGGCAGGAAATACCCATTGCTCAGCCAAGCCAGCACACGGTAAGAACACGCCATGTACCAACGACTGTGAGGAAGCCCCAGAGAAAAAAGGGCAGCCCTGAGACCTGAAAGGGAGTGCGCAGGGCAGCTGCCACAGAAGAGGCACCCACCAAGGGGGGTAGCTGGGATGTCACGGCAGAAGCAAGTGGACCCCCGAAATCTCCCAGGGCTCAGGCAGCGGTAATGGAGTGTCTGTCCCCAGACAGGAGCGGTAAGTGTGCCAGATAACCAGTGAGTAGGGCACCCCGGCCAGGTGAACGATCCCCTCAGTGTGCATTCACACCAGAAATAGCGCTGTGTAATTAATGCCAACTGCTTGCAGCCATTCTGCACTTCCCCACAAGCACTGACTAAAAGATGGGAGAGGGCACAATTAAACACAAAGTAATTGAGGAAGGTCAGTAACCAAGAGAGACAAAAACTCAACAAACAGAAGAATTTACACAAGAGAACCAGTTAATAGGACATTCGAAACCAAGATTTTAAAATAAGTAGAACTGTGTATACTTGAGAGTTGCTGAGAGCAAATCTTCAAAGCTTTCACCACACATATAAGAGAACTACGGAAGGTAATGAACGTGCTAATTAACCTTAATGGGGTAATCATTTAAGTGTTACATATTTACGTTAGGTATCATGTGGTACACCTTAAATTTACACAATGTTGTGTGTATGTCAACTGTATGTCAAGATAGCAAGAAAAAAATTACACATAAATTAAGTATAACAAGTATCCATCGAAAGATAAAGCAAGGTTATTGCATCCATAAAATATGATCAAGCAATTATGTAATAAGAGCAGTTGGTTAAACTATTTTTTAAAAAACCATAATTGTTTAAACAAAAAAAAAGCCTATAGAAGGGGTGAATAGCAAAACAGCTGTAAAACAAGTAAGAGAGAACACTGCTCCAAAATTCTCCCAGTATGTGGAATAAAGGAACAGAAAAATGTAGAAGTTCAGTCACCAAGAGCAAATTCAACATCTACCTAACCAGGAGTTACAGGAAGAGGACACAGAAAGAATAGAGAGAGAATATTTACCAAATGAATAGTCGAACATTAAGATAGAAACTCCTAAAAAAAAAAAAAAAAAAAAAAAAGGAAGGTTGCCTGGGTAGCTCTGTTGGTTGAGCATCCGACTTCGGCTCAGGTCATGATCTCACAGTTGGTGAGCTGGATAGAGCCCTGCATCGGGTTCTCTGCTGTCAACACAGAGCCTGCTCCAGATCTGTCTCTCTCTCTGCCCCTCCCCCACTCACACTCTCTCTCCCTTTCTCTCAAAAACAAATAAAAAAAACTTTAGGGGCGCCTGGGTGGCTCAGCCAGTTGGGCGTCCGACTTTCGCTTAGGTCATGAGCTCGCGGTTCGTGGGTTCGAGCCCCGCGTCGGGCTCTGTGCTGACTGCCAGCTCAGAGCCTGGAGCCTATTTCGGAGTCTGTGTCTCCCTCTCTCTCTGACTCTCCCCTGCTCACGCTGTCTCTCTCTCTCTCTCTCCTAGAAATAAATAAAAATATTAAAAAAAAAAAATTTAGTGAGATCCAAGTTACTGGGGTAAGAACTGTACATATTTCCTCTCATTTAATCCTCACAACAGCCCTGTGAGGTAAGTGGCATGACGCTATGTTATAACTGAGAAATCTAACGCTTTGAGAAAGAAAATGCTTGCCCAAGGTCACACAGTTAGCTAAGTGGCATAGCCAGCATTCAAACCCTGAACGTTTGACTGTAAGTCCAGTGCTCTTTGCACCATGCCATAGCTGATTTTAGAAATCTGCCAAATAACTTGGAACAGCCTCCCCGTCCTCCCTTGTCATGGTGAGCACCTTTGGCACTAAGCTACGAGAACATCTCCAAGAAGAAAGAGAGTGGAGTCAAGAATTATAAGACATAAATTCTCAACATGCAGAGTTCTCCTGTCCTCTGACCTTAGCACGTTGGGCAAGCCACCTAACTCTCTGTGCCTCGTATCCCTTAAATGCCCCCATGTGCCACTCAACATTTTCAGGCCCAGTAGCAGGATCTGAGGGGGGATCATTCAGCCATGTTCCTCTTATCACCCCAAGCAGATAGCTGTGTAGTAGACACACAGGGTTGTGAGAAGCAAGAGAGGGACCCTATAATGGCCACCGTGGAGCCTCCTGGTAGCTCCCCCAGCCTCCCGGGGCAGCACCCGAGCCTCTTCACCATACCTGGCAATATCTCTGGCAATCTGCTCGTTGGGACAATTGACAAAGACGACGGAGTAAGTGCCGGATAGGTAGCTGCCAGTGACGGCCGAATGGAGCTGCAGGCTAAGGGTCCTGAGCACTGGATAGGACAGGAAAGAAGCTGTCAGGATCTACATGGTAGGGAAAGAAAAACACAGGTCAGCAGTGACATGGCCAATTCACTATCTGCCAGCTCAAGCAAATGGAACCAAGACTAAGCATCATTTTGTCATCCCCAGTCCCCTCCCACAAAATAATTCCTGGTATCTGTATGGAGTGGCAGTGCATAAACAAAGTTTTCATGCCTAAATATTTTCCACTGCATTTTGCAGTGGTAAAAAATGATAAAGAAATAGAGATCACGTAGCTTTTAACTGGTGAAGCCACCATTAGGAATCAAGTCTGGATGAGCAGAAATCCCTTCTTATTGTACAGAGCCACTACTGGAGGTAATGCCAGTTGGCAACCACTGAACTGCTATCATCCCGTGGAGATTATTATGAATGATAAGCTCTTACATCTATTGACGTTTAGGGAGTTAATTTCCCCTCCATTCATTTGTTTATGTACAGGCACTGTGGGTAGTCCAGTGGAAAAGGTAGCCTAATTCAAAGTAATGTGACCTGTATTACTTTGGGGGTAGGACCTGGAGGCTGTACCTGAGGGAGCAGAAAAGCCTTCACAGAGAAGGCACCATCTAAGCTGGATCTGACGCAATAAGTAGGTTTACAAGAGGAGAGGGAGGTACTTCTAGCAGATGATAATATATAGAAACTCAAGAGGTATTTAGGGACAGATACCTAGTCTGCAGGTATGATATCAGGAGGAAAATAAGACTGGCAAGACTAATAAAGATAAGGGTCAGACAGAGGAGTCTGGGATTTATACTCATGTGACAGGGTGCTTTCGGAGGTTTTTAAGTAGGAGAGTAATAAACATGGTCAAGCTGAGTAAAGTACAGCAGGGAGAGGAGGGACCAGAAGGCGGTCTATTTAAAAGGCCACTACAATGTTCTAGGAAACACACCCTAACATCTTAAGCAAAGAAGATGGCAGTGACGATGTGAGAGCAAAAGACACTCAAGATTAAATTATTCTTACTATTTTAATGATCAGCTTTAAAATAAGAGGAACTGGAAACAACTGATGAATGGTCTCCAATCTGGGGCTCTCTGATTGGGGGATACCAAAGGGCCATGAAGAGGTTGGAGGCAACTTGGAGGGGGCACACTGTGACTCAGGCAGGGCTGAGCAGGGGCGCGCCTCTCCTGCCTCCCAGCCCAGGGCTCAGGCCTCACTCAAGAAAGCCTCTGTTCTCGCACGCCTTCCACATCACTGCCTGGGGGCTGGCTCCTACTTCGTGGCAGGGCCTGAGCAGCGTTTTATGTCCTGAGCTTCAGTTTGACTAGAGGCCTGTCTGGGTTGGGCTTCTCATCCCCTCCCACCACCTGCACCAACACCTCCAATTCAAAATACCAGTCCTCTGAACTAAACCAGTGACCGTGCAAGAACGAAAGAACCCGGCTTTGCAATGAAGCTTTTACTGCATGTGTACGTTTTTTAATGACAACTCAATTAGAGTATAAGAAAAAAATTAAAACACTAGAGAGCAGTATTTAAATTCTATTGCCAGTACTGCTAACTGCCTGTGGTGTTCAACATGTTACTGCCTCTCCTTTCTATAAATGTTATCTAGAAAATGGAGATCCTGACACTTGTGTTGCCTACTTCAGAGCTGGCGTGGGTTCAAACCAGATAAGGAAACTACTACTTTACAATCACGAATTCAATAAGAGAAGCGACCATGCTTCGCTCATCACTGTATCCCCAGAAGAGTTCATGGCCATGGCAGGTTAATACTTGTAAACTAGTGAATTAATATACCAGCAAAGTGTGGTTATTAAGACTGACTAGCCTTGTGAAGTAGATAGGGCTTTTGAGTCACCCACTGCTGGCTTTGAGCACAGAACTTGAACATACTGGAACACTGTAAGGTGTCAACTACATGACTCTAAAGTGGCTTCCAGCACAGACTCTAAACAAAAGGGCAGTGGGCTAGCCCCCAACCAAAAAAGCCATTCCTATGGAAGATCCGGGACATTTTGGCCAGCAGGTAGCAGCGGAAACAGAGCTAACAGGATTAACTATAAACTCACCTAAAACGTGCTGGAAACTCTCATATGAACTCACAGTCAAAAGGCTAAGAGGTAAATGGGCCCTCAGGTATTATCTAAGACAACCCTCCATTTACCACACAAGGTAACTGAGACAGAACATAAAGAAACTCTGATAGAACCAAGACTTGAATCCAAGAGCCTTCCTCCCGCTGTGGATTCTGTGAACTGCAATGACCAGGAATGGGTCTAGTGGGCGCACGTCAGCTTCACATACTCCAGTAGTCCTCAAGTGGGGCAATTTTGCCTCCCCAGGGGACATCTGACAATGTCTGGAGACAATTTTGACTGTCATAACTGGGAAGGAGATGCTATTGGCATCTAGTAGGTAGAGGCCAGGAGTGCTGCTAACATCCTCCTGTTCATTGATCACAGTGAAATATAGTTGTTTATACATGTCTCCCCCATTGGGCATGAGCTCCTTAGTCCCATTCATTTCTACATCCCCAGCACTTTACAACCCTTGACAGAAGAACAGATGTGAGAAACGTTTGTGGACGTACCTACCAAAACCATATCAGAAGCATGAAAGGTCAGTTTGGAACCAAGGGTGAACTACAATATATTACAAAGTGGCATTCTATGAAAGCAAAATTGGGGCGCCTGGGTGGCTTAGTCAGTTAAGCGTTCAACTTTCGCTTAGGTCATGATCTCGCGGTTCGGGGGTTCGAGCCCCGCGTTGGGCTCTGTGCTGACTGCCAGCTCAGAGCCTGGAGCCTGTTTCAGTCTGTGACTCCCTCTCTCTCTGACCCTCCCCTGCTCACGCTGTCTCTCTCTCTCTCTCCTAGAAATTAAAAAAAAAAAAAAAGAAAGAAAGCAAAATTGATGGAAAATACACACATCACAGAATTCCCCACTAAAAAATTATAACGGAAAAAGATCTACTATGACTTTTAAAGTCTTTATAACATTTTCATCCTTACTTTTTAACTCTACACTTTTCCCAATTTTACATTTGTTTAAAATATGAACCTTTCAGTTTATATTTCATTCTGCCCTTTTCCTTTTTTGTCCTGGAATATTTACACAGCTCTTAGGAGGTTATGATTGACTTTATAATCTGTGTTAAGACAGAAGAGAAGGGTGGCGCCTGGGTGGCTCAGTCAGTTAAGCGTTCGACTTCGGCTCAGGTCATGATCTCACAGTTCGTGGGCTCGAGCCCCGCGTCGGGCTCTGTGCTGACAGCTAGCTCAGAGCCTGGAGGCTGCTTTGGATTCTGTGTCTCTCTCTCTCTGACCCTCCCTTGATCATGCTGTCTCTATCAGAAATAAAATAAAACATTTTTAAAAAATTTAAAAAATAAGAAGAGAAGGGGCCTCAGAAACCACCCAGGGGTTCTAACCTTGTAATCAGCCTAGTTTTAAGGAATCTAAGATACTCTGGAATTGAGTGCTACATTGCATTTATATACATTTTCCTTGGGTACAAATCCAGAACTTTTTCACACATACACAAATCAAGAAAACTTACAGTTCTAAAAAGGTTATGAGCCACTGATTTGTGCCAGTTTTTCAGACGGGGAATGTAAAAGCCAGAGAGGGGAAGAAATCACCCAAAAGATAGTAGCGAGGTTTCTGACTCTCCCCTACAGTTCTTTCCACCTCCAGCTCAAACCCCGCCCCCACCAGTGGTTCTCTGTAGCCACTTGCAACCTCAACATTTTACGCTATTTCAGAGATGAGAAAACAAAACTTTTTCCCAAATGCGGAAAGTGATATGGTAACCACAAGAGAAAGAGGCCAAGAATCTACCCTGCGACCCACAGATGAGAACTCACCAGCGACACCCCTTCACCTCCCAGACAATTCTGGCAATGAAACACAGCCCAGGCACTCGGCCTCACAAGGTGGGGAGTGAAGGATCGCTGGGAAGCTTCAGAACCATGGTAGGACCCAGGTAGGGTCTCCAGCGAGCTTCCCTTCTGCCTCCTACCTGCCTGGTCCCAGCTCAAAATCCCAGGTGCAGAAAACAGAAATGCAGTTTCTTCCCTCAGTCCCCAGGTTGGGCATTTAGGAGTGAGAGAGTTCACAGAGTCGCAGCATGGGGCACTCACCAGGAGGCATGTAAGGACAGAGGGCCGCAGGTAGCCTGACAGAGGACACGGTGAGCCCAGCCTGTCCATGGCGTCACTGGTAATTTAGTAGCACAGTGGCGAGCTGTGGCCTCAGGCTGAGTTGCAAGCTGATGGGCGGGCACTGAGGGCCTAAAGTGCCCTATCCCCTCACCACCTGCCCTCCTGCTCAGCCAGGCCCCAGCCGGGCTGGCCAGAAGGAGTTAGTGGAGGGGGCAGGGAAAGTGGGAGTAATTATTCTCGCTGGGCATTCCCTTCCTAGAAACAAAAAGCCCACGCACCATATGTGGACCTATAGCCCCTACAAAAATAAAAATAATAATTTTCTCTCCCACTGCAACAATAAAAAAATGATTTAAAAAAATCCCTATGTCCCATGTGCAGATAAAAAGATTGAAGTTTCTTAGACCTATAAAATTTTCAGAAACCACAGCACATAAACACTAATACAAAACACAAAACTTTCCACTTTATAGGGGCCCATCCTGCCAAAATTAACCAGCGAAGCGCGCGCGCGCGCGCGCGCACACACACACACACACACACACACACACACACACGCCGCTGCCTTCCTATCCCCCACAGCACCTCCTCCTCCCAGGAGCTCCCTTCTAATTTTCCCGGACTTACAGTACATTTGTTCCCAGCTGCTCTGCCTGTGAACTTCATCTCTGCGGGCCAGGTTTTTCCCAGGTTGAGCCCACCGTCCTCTATTTCCCCAAGGCACTTTGTACACACTTCCGCGGCAGCATTTTATATCAACCATGGGGAGCTGCAAACAAATAAGCAGGAAGCTCATGACTGACTGCTGCCCTTCGAGAATGCAGTGCTCAAAGTTCTCCCCATTGCCAGGGTTTGCAACTTTTAAATGCAGCTTTTTAAATGTGAAAATATCTTCATTTTTAAATGATATTTCTGGGGCAAGGAAGGGACTGACTACGCAAGGGCACAAGTAACCTTACAGTTAAGGGAACTGTTCTGTATCTTGATTGTGGTAGTGGTTACACAAGTAGTAAAAAAAATTCAACTACTACACACTTTTATTGGTGAGGTCTATTGTATGTAAACAGTAACTTAAAGAGCCAGGGAAACGCTAGAAACCAATTCAAAATTGTTTTACACTGGGCAGACCAAACAAGATACATCTGTTAGCCAAATATGGATCGCAAGCTGCCAGTTCACAGACTTTGTGTTTATTTATCTGCTAACTATCTGTCTCATTCCTTGGGACTATAACTTCTTAAAAACCCACACTTCCTTTGCAAAGTGGTTAATAAATCAGTTGTAGCCCTAATCTTATCATTTACATATTTAGCTGTGAAGACTCAGGCAAATTACATAGCCTCTCTGAGCTTAAGGAAGGGCTAATACCTCCTTCACAGGTCTAAAGTGAGGATTAACAAAGAAAAGTAATGTAAGAGTGTTGTGGAAAATCTAAGACCATGTCAGCTTTTCAGAAGCAAGTAGTCTCATACTGACTACTATGGTTAACTCAGAAAATCTTGGGGTGCCTGGGTGGCTCAGTCGGTGAAGTGTCCGACTTTGGTTCAGGTCATGATATCTCATGGTTTGTGGGTTTGAGCTCCACATCAGGCTCTGTGCTGAAAGCGGAGCCCGGAGTCTGCTTCAGATTCTGTGTCTCCCTCTGCCCTTCCCCTGCTCACACTCTCAAAAATAAATAAACGTTAAAAAAAAAAAAAAAAAAAAAAAGAAGAGAAAATCTCCACCTGTGTTTGAAGAATTTAGTATCTGTGGAAAAACTGGGTGAGAGAAAATAAAGCTGAGTGGTTCTAAGAAAATCTTTATATCCAAAGTCTAGTAAAATAAATCAAGATTGTGATCTTTTATACCTATTACATTAATAAGAAATGCACCCACTGTTACAAACCATTTTACCTTAGATCCTGAGATGGCTTCCTGAGATCATGTCCCCAAGTGTAGCACAAGACGCCACACAGCTTATGCTCAATAAATGTTTGTTGAATGACTAAATGATTGGGATGTGTGGCTGATACTAAGGATGGTCATGATGAAAGTGATATTGGAGCAAGAAGGGAAGAATGGCAAGAGATGAACCATCACTTGGAAGAAACTGCCTCTGGATTCTCTTCTTCCTTTAACTCAGGCACTTCTACTCTCTCCAGACTCAATTCTAAGGTTAGATTCCAAAAATCCAATTCTGCATTTATGGCTTTGGCAGATATAGTAAGAGTCTCAGTGCTACCACCTCAGGGTCCAGGATCTTCTTCTGGAGGCTTCTTATCCTCCTTCTCTACCTTCTCTTCCTTATGGGATTCAGATTCAGACTCCCCTTCAGACTCAGATTTTATATCCATCTTCATCCACACTACTTCTTCTTTGTGTCTTTTCTTTCTTCAACTGCTTTGCTTTATTTTGAAGGTTCTTTTGCATCCCTTTATAGGTGCAAAACTTCAACAATTTATTGAAAGTCTTTTTTAAAGGCAAACTTCGATCCAGGAAGAGATCCATTATCAATTGCAGCATCACTGAGACGTGAGGCCTGGCATAAGAAAGCATTCTGTTTCCTTAGATTCATCTTTATCTCTGGTCTTGTCTTCTTCCATATTTATTGATATAGACTCTCCCTCAGTTATAACCAAAGCTTGAAACTTGATCACCTCATAATTTCACCCTCTTACATATCCATGAATTTAAAGTCCATACGTTTTGCAGACTCTGATTTTTGCAACTTCTTCATTAGCTCTAGGGAACATGCATAATCATTCACATCATCCCAAAGTTTCCACCAGGCTTTATGAAGAGCAGTTGGTTTTGTTATCCAATGGATATTGGATATATCCAATGGATATTGCCTCTTTTATCACTACCAAAGCATCAGCAATGTCATACTGTTGCCATGTTCCTCTCAAAGTAAGACAAGGATTTTTTCAATACAGTCAGCAAAGTGGTCAAATACATGCTTGGTGTAATACCTCCTGAAGGCTTCAATTATACCCTGATCCAAGCGCTGAAGACAGCTAGTGCCTTGTGGGGGGAGAAACACAAAATCAACATTAGGATGAGTGACCAACAATGACTCTGGGTGACTGGGACATTTGTCCAAAATTAGCAGCACTCTGAACTCAAGATTTTCTTCTAATAAATAACTCAGAGCGTGATGAATAAAACACTTTGGAAATCAATCCAGAAAGAGGGACGCAGTTAATGGTACTTTGGGGTGTGATCTCCAGAATACAGGAAGGTGGTTTTTATCTTTTTCCAAAAGACAAGTGGGATTAGGGTCTTTATAAAGCAGCAATGGTTTTGTCATTTTGTCACCGGCGGCATTGCCACAAAAATTGAGAGAAATCCTGTCCTTAGCTTCCTCTAAGCTTTCAGGATTTTTGTCTCTTTCCCTAAGAGTACGTGAAGGCATGCACTTCCAAAACTGGCTCATCTCCTTGGCACTGAAGACCTGTTGAGGTACATAGCCTCTAGCTCTGATCAGCCTCTGGAGTTGTTTGGACAGACTTGGATGCCGACTGGGCATTCAGCGGTTCTTCCTCCCCAATCAACCTCGAACTTCGCAGACTGTAGCAATTTCTAAACTTCTCAAACCATCCCTTGCTCCCATGAAACATCCGGGTTACCCTTCCCAGCGGTTTCCACCAGCTGCTTGTAAATGCGTTTGGCCTGGCTGCAGATGGCCTTCGGTGTCAGAGGCCGGCCCCCTCCGGTCTTGTCCTCCACCCAGAAGGTTTACTGCATCTCCATCTTCTCGATGTTTCTGTTCCGGGGAATGCACAGCACCTTGGAGCACAGAGGCGACGCACTCTCCATGCTGGCTGGCCCCGATGGCCTTCGCATTTCTCTTAATGGTGTGGACGGTCGACTCGCTGACGCCAAACAGGCGCCCCACGTCGGTGCTACTCACGCCTTCTTCCAGCTTCTCTAGAAGTTTCATCTTGACTTCCAGAGGCATGACCCTCCGCCTCCTCTTGATTCGTGTCTGGCCAGGGAGCAGGATGCCCATGGCCTCGGCTCCTCCTGGGGTGCCCTGGGCGGCGGCCTCTACCGCCACAGCCGACAGCCTGCGGCTGTAGGGCCAGGAGGCCGCCCGCGAGGCCATTTAACCTTCTGTGGGACCTCAGAATCGTCCCCACTCCGCTTGCCGGGCACTTGACGAGCCTTCGCTCCGGAAGGGAAATACGCAAGCCGACCGGAAAGTCGACCCTCAGGAGCCACAGAACAGCGCTCACGATGACGCCCGGCCGAGACCCCGCAACCCCCAGCAACAGTTGGCTGGGCTCCTGACAGCCCGGGTCTCGCGAGGCTTGGCGGCCCCCAGGCGCTCGCGCTGCGCGCCTGCCCCACATCGCTATTGGAGCGGCCGCGGCAGCTCGCGGTGGCTGCCGAAAGCCCGGAAGGGAGGCTGCGCCCCGCAGATCTCGCGAGGCTCGGAGAGGCGCGCCGGGAGCCCGGAGTGTGCCGGGCCGCCGGAGCGCCCGCGGGAGGTGCACGATGGCGGCTCAGGCGCTGGCGCTGCTCAGGGAGGTGTCGCGACTGGAAGCGCCCTTGGAGGAGCTGCGCGCGCTTCAGTCGGTGCTGCAGACCGTGCCGCTCAGCGAGCTCCGCGAGCAAGCGGCGGAACTGCGCCTCGGCCCGCTGTTCTCCCTGCTCAACGAGAACCATCGGTGAGACGACCCCAGTGGAGGTCGAGAGACGAGGGTAGCCGGGAGGAGGGGACGGCTTTCCCCGGTCGTGGTGAGGCCTAAACATCGCTGACCCTTTAGCGGGAAGGACCCTGGGCCAGGAGGCCAGACACTGGGCTCCAGTCCAGCCTATGAGGTGTGCTCGCCGCACTGCCTTCATCCTTGAAACAGGACTTGGAGAGGGAAAGCGAGGTTGCTCGCCTGGAAAGAGTTGCCACAATCAATATACGTGTACCGGTCGGCGACGTTCTTCCTCTTAACAGGTCCTGTCCTGGCAACTTAGCCGGATCCATCAGCATTTTAAACGCGCGTTGTCTTTTGATCCATAGGCAGTGAACACGCAGGTTATGCTCGCACTCAAAATGTACTGTATGTATAGGGATAGTCATATCAAGAAGGTGACAGCAAAAAAAAAAAAAAAAATCTAGAGACAACCTAAAATCCATGAAAAGGGGATTGTAAATAAATTATGCTACGTTGATACGTATGCTTGTGCCGCTATTAGAAAAACTAAGGTAGATCTGTATATGGCGACGTGGGAAAATCTCTAATATATGTTGAATGGGAAAAGAACATTGTAGGAGTTTGTGATCCCATTATATGTAATGTTTTTAAGGACCCTCCCCCCGCCCCAGCCTAGTATGGCATTGAGAATAACTGAAAGCTACAGCAGAAACAGTTAATATAAAAGTGGGATTTCGGATGGCAACTCTTTTCATTTTATGCCCATCTGTAGTGTTTAATTAAAAGGCACTTTGTATTTGATCATTTGATAATGTAAAACAGTTTAACAATGTTTGCGATCCAGAATTGCAAAAGTGACCTTTCTACTTGAAAAGGTAATAAATTGATGGATCAACACTGGATGATTTCAGGGGGCTTTTCTTGGCTATAACGATCTGAGATTCTCCCACCCCCGTTTTATACATGTTCCCCTTCATTCAGTCCATTAGTTAGCATGATTCAGTTCTGCCTATGACATCTCTTGTTTTCTGTCCTCTTCAGTTTAGGCCCTCATTTTTCCCCTCTTGTTCAGTCTATTGCATTAGTCTGACTTCTCATTACGTTTAAGCTTCCTTTGCCAGCGTGCCCTTCCCACGCTGCAACCGCAGTGAACTTCTTGGATCATTTAGCTCATATCTTTTCCATGGTTTTCCACTGTCTACAGCACAAAATCATGACTTCTTTTCCTGGCATTTGGGGCCTTACCGTGTATTTCCATCCTACTTTTCCAGCTCGATCATTTTCCTCCACTCCTCTACAGATATTTCATCTGTTTCAGCTACCGTGTGACACCGTTTACTTTGCCTTGAGCATGACTTGGCACTTTCCTAACTATGTCCATGCCAGTGCTTCTAACTGAAATGTCCAAATTCTGTCCATTCTCTAAAGCCAGGTAAAGTACTTCCAAAATGTGTTACTTGGCCATTGCTTTGTCAAGTGACTGGTCCTCAGATCTCCTGAGAGATATTATCGTTATTTGTTAATGATACTTGACACTGTTGCATTATATTATAGTTCTTTATGTGTTTATTTTTAGTTTGAAAATTCTTTGAAGGCAGGGGCCATACTTTGTTCATCTCTATATCCCTCTTAGGGTACAGGACATAGTATAATATAGGCTAAATAAAAAGATTCATAAATTTTAAAGAGGCCACTTTATATCGTGGATAAAAAAAATTTCAAAAGTCAAACCGTAGGTTAACACCAGAGATACGGTAGGAACTGAAATGAATGGGAGTTTGAAAAATGAGGTCCATGGGGACGTGTTTTGCCAAATGAAGGAGCAGTGCCATAGGAGACGATTTTAATGGGAATTTACAGACAGGGTAATTCAGAACTGGGTACATAGTAGATACCAATTGCAATTTGTGGGAATAATTCTTCTGCAGATAGCAGATGAGGAGTCTTGAGATCTATTATCCTGGCTAAACCACCCAGGTTGCTATATATTGGTTTAGAATCTGATCTATTAGATACAAATCTAGAATCTTGACAGGAGTTTTTGTGAGAGAAAGTAAGTCCTAAGACTACTGCTTTACAGCATGGAGACTGTAAATTATTAACTCTTTGGCTTTTTGGTAAAAAGTGCCACATATGACCTGAAATTTGTGCACTATACAGTTTAACCTATGGCTGCTTTATTTAAAAAAAAAAAAAAAAAACTTTATTGAGATATAATTTACATAAAATAAAAGGCACATAATGAAATACACAATTTGACACGTATTGACATATGTATATACCCATGAAACTATCACCACAATCAAAATAACAAAGGTATCTCTGAGCCCCAGAAGTTTCCTTGTGCCTCTTTATAATCCCTTTTCATCTCAGACAGGCAACCACCGATCACTATAGAGGAGTTTGCCTTTTTTTTTTTTTTTTTTTAAGAATTTTATACAAATGGAATCCTACAGTATGTACTTGGGTTTCTTTCACTCCTCATTTTAAACTTTATGTGGTGTGGATGAATCCTCCATTCCTTTTTAATGCTGAGTAGTAGTCCCTTGTATGAATGAACCACAATTTATTTATCAGCCTTACCTGCTGGTGAACATTTGAGTTGTCTTCAGTTTGATGATATTACAAATTACATTGTTATGAACATTTGTGACAAGCCTTTACGTAGACAAATTCTTCCTTTTCTCTTTAATACCTAAGAGTGAAATGAATGGCTCATATGATAGGTTTATGTTTAACTTTTTAAGAAACTGCCTATTTTCCAAAATGATTGTACCATTTTATATTCCCATCAGCCATGTATGAGAGTGGATTATAGGCCTAAATATAAAACCTAAAAAACTATAAAACTTCTAGAAGAAAACCTAGGAAAGAATTTTCGTGACCTTGGGTTGATCAAAGATTTCTTTGATGTGACACCAAAATCATGATCTGTAGAAGGAAAAATTGATAAATTGGGCTTCATCAAAATTAAATACTCTGCTCTTCAAAGGTCACAGTTAAGAGTGAAAAGGTAAGTTACAAAAAAATCTTTGCAAGAATATATAACAAGGAAAGAATCCAGTTTAGAAAATGTTTAAAAAAGTATTTGAACAAGATAAATGGATGGCAAATAAGCATACTAAAAGATACCCAACTACATTGGTCATTAGGGAAATGCAAATTAAAATTACAATAACAAAGGCAATTCAACTATCCTTCTGGCAGATAAATGGATAGACAAAGTGTGGTATATGCATACAATGGAGTATTACTCAGCTTTGAAAAGAAGGAACTCCTGACACCTGCTACAACTTGGAGGAAACTTGAAGGCATCGTGCTAGGTGAAATAAGCCAGTCACAAAAGGACAAATACTGTAAGACTCCACTTAGATGAAGCACCTAGGGTAGTGACATTCATTGAGATGGAAAGTAGACTGGTGGTTGCTAAGGGCTCAGGGAAGGGGAGAAGGGGAAGTTTGTGTTTAATAGATACAGAGTTTCCATTGGGAAGATGAAAAAGTTGTGGAGATAGATAATAGTGATGGTTGCACAACAACGTGAATGAACCTTAATGCACAGAACTGTACATTAAAAAATGGACAGGGGCACCTGGGTGGCTCAGTCAGTTGAGAGTCCAACTTTGGCTCAGATCATGATCTTGTGGCTCGTGTGTGTGGTTTTTTGTTTTTTTGTTTTTTTAATGTTTTATTTATTTCTAGGAGAGAGAGAGAGAAACAGCGTGAGCAGGGGAGGGTCAGAGAGAGAGGGAGTCACAGACTGAAACAGGCTCCAGGCTCTGAGCTGGCAGTCAGCACAGAGCCCGACGCGGGGCTCGAACCCCCGAACCGCGAGATCATGACCTAAGCGAAAGTCGGACGCTTAACCGGCTAAGCCACCCAGGTGCCCCATCGTGGCTCGTGTGTTTGAGCCCTGCATCAGGCTCAGCGCTGGCAGCTCAGAGCCTGCTTTGGATTCTGTGTCTCCCTCTCTCTGTCTCTCTCTGCCCCTCCCCACTTGTGCTCTGTCTCTCTCCCCAAAATAAATACATAAACATTTTTAAAACATGGTTAAAATGGAAAATTCCATGGTATATATAGTCACAGTTTTTAAAAAAGGAAAAGAAACCCATACCCATTAACAGTCACTCCCCATTCCTCCTCTCTGCCCCTTCCCTGGCCACCAGGAATCTGCTTTCTGTCTTTATGGATTTGTCTGTTCTAGACATTGATATAAATGGAATCATCATCAAAAGGAAGCCTTTTCTGTCCGAATTCTTTCACTTAGCATAAATTTCCACACTTTATCCATGTTGTATAATATTCTACTATATGGACAAAACACGGTTGTATTTATCTACTCATTAACTGATGGACATTTGGGGTGTTTCTATTACTATGAATGTTCACGTTCAAATTTTTGTGTGGTCATATGGTCTCAATTATCTTGAGTATAAACATTCTTAATTATTTCCTTAGGTGCAATTATGCAAAGTGCAATCCCTAGGTTAAAAGAGATTGGTTCATTTTGAAGGCTTTTGTTACGTATTGCTTAATCGACTTCTAGAAAGGTTGTATTGGTTTAATCATATACTCCTATTAGCAGTACATGAGTGCCTATTTATTTGTACTACCTGTTAAAGGAAAAGGAAGTTATTCTTGAAGCACCTTGTATATCTACAACTAGTAGTCATCAAATTCTGATTAATTTACCACTTTAATTGCTCCTGAATCTTTTCCCTCTTCTCCATGACCCCTGCGACTCCCCTGTTTCACTTCTTCACCTGCCTTCTAACTGAAAAATTCTTTCTCCAACTGATGCAGAGTGGTTTCCTCAAGTCAGATATCATCATGTTACTTCTTGGCTTAAAACCACTTCATGGCTTGCCATTGCCTTGTGCAAAAAGTCTGAATTCTGTAGCATGACAAAAAATGGCCTAGCAGAATCTGGCTTCTTGTGCTTCTTTCTCATTTCATTTCTTGCCATTCATCCTTCCCCTTTTACCTTCTCCCCCCTCTTCTCCCATTTGTATCCCAGTCATATGAAGTTTCTTGTACTTCCTTGAATATATAACGCTGTCTCTGTCCTCTGTGCCCTTTATGTGTCCCTCTACTTGGAACACCTTTGTCCTCCTAGATAATTCCCACTTTTTTTTTTTTTTTTTTTTTTTAATTAAGCTCAGGCATTACCTTTCTGGGAGGCCTCCCAGAACTCTGTGTTCTTTTTTGAGCTCCCACATCTTCCAGCCCTAACCTATAGCATTTGTCTACCTGGATTATAGTTGCCTTTCTGTTTTTCTGTATTTTCCATTAGACTATGCTCATTGAGGTTAGAGAATATGTGTTATCCTTCTTTGTAGCCCCAGCATAAGCATGGCACATAATAGATGCTTAGTAAATCCTTAATAAATTAGTAGAAGCTAGTGTTTTTAAAGGGAAGTCTGTGTATAAGTAATCCTCACTGAGCCAGTCTTCAGATATTAATAGGTTGTTACTTCCTACCTTGCAGGACACAAACTAATGAGATCTATGTTGTCTCCTTTAGGGAACAGACCACTTTGTGTGTATCCATTCTGGAGAGATTGCTCCAAGCTATGGAGCCAGTTCACGTGGCCCGGAACCTCAAGGTTGACCTGCAGAGGGGACTGACTCACCCCAATGATTCCGTAAAAATTCTCACTCTGTCCCAGGTATGAAATTTTACTAGCACATAATAAGGGAGCTGACATTTACTGACCACCTGCTCTGGACCAGGCTCTATGTTGGGTGCCAAAGACAGAAAGATGAAGAAAATATGATCTCTCTCTGTCCCTAAGAAGTGTCTATTCTAGTGTGCATAGCTAACTATAACCAGGGGGAATAAACTAAAGTAAGAAGTTCTGCTAAGCTGACCTTAATGCTGCTTGACCAGAACAACCGGGAGCATGTGATCGATGCCTTTAGACCCGATGTGACCTCGTCCTCTTTCCAGAGGCCGGTCAGTGACATGAACATCGCGAGTGGCTGCCCCCTCTTCTGCCCTGTTTCCAAGATGGAGGCTAAGAATTCCTACGTGCGCGATGACGCCATCTTAATCAAGGCCATTGTGGACCTGACGGGGCTCTAGCCGCCTCCCCCCAGGATCAGGGGTCAGGAACAGCTGGGCCTGGTGGCTCACTATGGGTGGACGCCTGCCGCCATCGTGGCCCTCCGGGATGGAGCCGCCTCCTGGGAGAGGCCGCTCAGCCCAGGCCACGTGGGGTGGCCTGCGGGCCGGTCGGTGCCTCCGAGGGCTGTCTGTGTAGGCTCTCGGGGCAGAGCGAGTGGAGGGGCAGGGTGGGCTGGCACTGTGTCCTGCCCTTTGGCCCCCGGAGAGAAGGGACACTCGGGTTTGGCCACCGCTCTGAGGAGAAGCCCTGCCATGCGGGCCTGGCCAGGCCAGCGTGCAGGGAGGGCGCTCTGTGTCCTCAGGGCCCCCTATCGGCCGCCCCTGTGGTGAGTGGGGTGCACTTTGGGCGCTGCCATGAGACATGGTGCGGTAACTGCCCCATTGGGCTGCGGAGGAGTCGTTATTAAAGTGTTAAATCTCAAAAAAAAAAAAAAAAAAATGTTGTCTGAAATAGTCATTCATCAAATACTGACTGATCCTTTTACATGCCAGGGATTGTACCATATACTGTTAAAGCTGCCAAGATAAATGAAGCCTATTTCTTCCCTTCAAAGAGCTCCTAGTCTAGAGAAAGTATTGCCATGTTAGGTCTTATTATAGTGGCATGAAAAAGTACTATTGTAAAGGTCACTTAAATCAAGAAATTGAGATGGTAACTCTCGTCACCTGGGTGACCAAAGTACCCTACTATTTGGGTAAAGAGCTGCTGATCAAGATTATCTTGTTGAGATGTTAGGACCTGCGCAGTTAGTTATCCAGTAGGTTTTCAAGTACTGTTCCTTTTCTCCTCTAGAAGTGTTAATTCAACAAAAATGCGGAAAGTATTGATTTATTCTTTGACCATTTATGTGCCAGACACCGTAGTATATGCTTTTCCTATTTAATCTCATTTAATCTTCATAACAGTCCTGCAGTTAAGTATTGTATTCTTATTTTACAAATAAGAAATTAGGTTCAAAGAAGTTAATTTTCTAGTTGATGGAACTAACATTTGTATTGTTTTCTCTAACTAAAATGTCTCAACTCTTTATCCACCATTTATTTTTTTTTCTTTCTTTTCAGTAATGTGACTATACCCTAAGTGTGTTCAGCTTTAATGAATTTGGGTCATTTTGAATTTTTAATGACTCATCATATAGCTGTAATCCATAACCCCTAAAATAACTGTACACTAAGGGAATTTCTGATTGCTTTTTTATTTCAGGTTGGAAGAATTATTGAAAATTCTGAGGCTGTTACTGAGATTCTAAATAATGCTGAATTACTAAAACAAATTGTTTATTGTATTGGTGGAGACAATCTGTCTGTAGCTAAAGCGGTGAGTCACCTACAACCATCAGCTTAAACATGCACGGTATCCTGAAAAACAAAGAAAGGCCTTCTGGATTGAGAGGTGAAAGTTTAGTACCAATGGTTGTATAGTTGTTTTCACAACCTCATGTAGATGGTATCAGATACATAAAAGGTCTTGAATAAGTACCAGTAAACCCTTTCTTTTTTTCTAGAATAAGCATATCTAAATTATCCATCACAGAGGTTATATTAGGTTGCTTGATAAGAAAAAAAAACGTACATATCTGTTTTCTATAGGGAATACTGTGTGTCTTTTTCAGTTTTAAATAACGATAGCTGAAACATAGCACATGCTCATTGGGCAAGATGAATTCCATACACTGATTTCACATCAATATCATGAAGTAGACATTAACATTCTGCACTTTTATGACTTAAGAGACATTTTCTTTCCTTATTTATAAGGCCATTAAATCCCTGTCAAGAATATCGTTAACCCAAGCTGGACTGGAGGCTTTGTTTGAAAGCAATCTGCTGGATGATTTGAAAAGTGTCATGAAAACAAATGACATTGTTCGATACAGAGTGTATGAGGTAAGACTAAAAGCATGCTTTCTGATGCCTACGGTTTGGAATGCAGCAGAGCTTGCACTGGAAGGCAAGATGGCTTGGTTGCCATGCATTTATGGAGTAGGTAGTCTGTGTTAGGCTCTGTATTTGATGCTGGAGATGTGGGGGCGAGCTCCCAGCCTGGTGTGTGAGACAGTCCTGTGAAAAAGATTTACGGTACGCTATATTAACTACTATAATAGAGTAGATAATATTAACACTAGACTTTGAAATAGTTGTAGTAGGTCGATGAAGAAATGGCTCTTATTTGCACTGACTTTGTACTTAGTATTATACTAAATCCCCACATACATTGTCTTCAACTTTTGCAGTAAACTGTATACATTATTACCATTAACCTCACTACTGATGGAATAGCTGACCCAGACCACACAGTTAATAGGCTGCATATTCAATATGGAACCCTAGACAGTCTAATTCCCTGTTCAAAACACTTTCTTACTTTGCATGTCTTAACACCATCCTAACCTGACTTCCCTTCTGCCTCTCAAGCTGTTTCTTCTCAGTCTCCTGGCTCATTATCCTCAATTATCCTTTTAATTGTTGAAGTTCATAAAAGTGAATTCCCAAACCCTGTTCTCACTGTATATTCATTTCCAGGCAATTTTATTCATCTTATGATTTCAGTTCCCATCTAAATGAGATGACTCCATAAACCAACCCAGACCTCTCTTCTTTTTTTGTTTTAAGTTTATTTATTTATTTTAAGAGAGAGAGAGCGCGCGTGCACACAAGCACACAGTTGGAGCAGGGGCGGAGAGAGAAGGAGAGAGTGCGAATCCCAAGCAGACTTTACACTCAGCACAGATCCCAATGCAGGGCTCAAACCCACGAACCACAAGATCATGACTTGAGCCCAAACCAAAGTCAGACACTCAACTGACTGAGCCACCCAGGTGCCCACCCCCGACCTCTCTTCTTAGCTCAGACCCTCATGTTCAACTGCTTACTCACTGTTCCCCCTTTGGACCTATGTATTTTAGTCCTTCCTCTCATACTAAAACCAAACTCCTAAGCTTCTTAACCCAGCCTGTTCTCCAATAAAAAAACAAGAGCAACAAATTGGTCCTGTATCACAGTCAGCATAGTTGGGTATTAGAACTTGAGCTTATTCCCTGTGACACTCGATTCTCCCTGCCACATATCCATTAGGTCATCATATTGTGCCGGTTTTACTTATACCCATGCATTTGTCTTCCTTGGTATAACCACAACCACCCTAGTCTAAGCTACCAGTATCTCTCACCTGGACTACTATTGTATTTGCATCTCAACTGGTCTCATCCATTTTTGACACCATTGGTCTATTTTCAGATGCAGTCAGGATGATCTGTTAAAAATTCAAATTTGGTTCTGTCATTCCTCTGCCTAAAATCCTTCAGTGTCCTATATCTCTCAGTTAGCCCTCAGGACATACTTGTGGAATGAGTAAGTAATTGACTGACTGATAGAATGTATGGATGAATGAATGATTTTTAACAGTCTTACTGCTGATTCAGGCTTTTGTACCCTGATTTATGGCTTGATGATTTAAGAGAAAAAAACACACATAATAAACATAATGGAATATTTGAATATTTCTGTGCCAAAATAATCTCTCACAGGTTCAGTGACATTCTTCCGTTTGTGGAGACAAATAATGGATCTAAAAAAAAAAAAAAATTCAGTTATATAAAGTACCTAGTCCTATAATTTAAAATGAGATCTAACAGGATTGGGGCTGTTTTCACCTTTCTGCTTTTTCTGTTTTTTTCTTTCAGTTAATTGTGGAGATTTCTTCTGTATCACCAGAATCTTTAAGCTATTGCACCACCAGTGGATTGGTAACCCAGCTCCTCAGAGAGCTGACTGGGGAGGATGTGCTGGTCAGGTATGTTGACGGAGAGCGTTCTTAAAGCAAAATCTTCTTTGGGAGGTCCGGGAAACAGCTTTGGGATGTAAGCAATCTTTCCTATTAGAGCCTGGGCCTGGGTTGCAATCTCTTGAACACTGTCCTGAAGAAGGGGTCTTTAGAAATTGTTCGGGTTATGTCCTGACAATATACTGAAACTTAGCAGAGCCTCCCATGAGCATCCACCTACTTTAGATTAACTCTATTCCCTTGGACATGTGTGCTTTTTCAGTCACATGATAACTGTCATTTTGTATTACTTACAAATGTTATCCTATACATTTTTGGTTTTGTTAAATAATAGCACTAAGGTGTTATGGAAAAAACATGGGCTTTTGAAAATGAGCAAGACTTGGCTGTGGATGCATTTCTGCTACTTATTAGCTGTTTGACCTGGGACAAATTATTATAACCTTTCTACACCTCCATTTCCTCATCTCTCAAATGGAACAGTAACAACTCTCAAAGAAGATACGAGGATTGGGGCAGCTGGGTGGCTTAGTCGGCTAAGCATCCGACTTCAGCTCAGGTCATGATCTCAAGGTTGACAAGTTTGAGCCCTGCATTGGGCTCTCTCTCTCTCTGCCCCACTCCCACTTGCACTCTCTGTCTCTCTCAGGAATAAATAAAAGCATTTAAAAAAAAAAGATATGAAGATTAAATGAATAGACCATTACATTGGTTGACATAGGTCCTCAAAGAAATGTTACTTCTAGGTTCTTCCCTCCCAGCCCCCTACTCCCTACATCACGTTTAATATCTACCAATGTTATCTTGTTGCTATTCCACAGTTTACTAATACATTCTCACTGTTGAACACTTGGTTTGCTTCAAGTATTTTGTTGTTACATTAGCACTATAGTTAATCATCTTTGTGCACACAGGTTTTTGTTTTTCTTATGTGATTTTTTTTTAATGTTTATTTATTTTTGAGAGAGACAGCACAAGCAGGGAAGGGACAGAGAGAGACAGAGACAGAAACAGAGAATCCGAAATAGGCTCCAGGTTCCCAGCCATCAGCACAGAGCCTAATGCAGGGCTCAAACCCACAAGATCATGACCAGAGTCAAAGCCTGGGTGGCTTAACTGACTCAGCCACCTGGGGGCCCCTCCTTACATGATTTTCTGATTGTTAGAGTTTTTAAATGTGACTGAATTAGTTGAACTCCTATGCATAAGTCACGAGTTACACTGTTTCAAAGCATTTGAGTTACATTGTTTCAAAGCATTCCTAATAAGGAAATTAATTAAAAAAAAATTTTTAGCCTTACATCAAATTTTGTAGCAGAAAAAAAACTCTTCAAATCGTCTGTTAAAATACTTCAACTATAAAAATACTTTTTAAAATTATTTGCAGAAATTTGATCATGGGTAGATATTAGATGATACCAAGAATTTTTATCAATTTTTAAAATATGTAGAAATAGCATTATAATTGTGTGAGGAACTGTTCATATCTTTAAAGATGCATACTGAAGTATGCAGGGATAAATGGCAAGATGACTAGAATTTGCTTTAAAATAATTTAGCAAAAATGGAGGAAAAAAGATTTAAAACAAAATATTGTCAAAAATGTTATGTAAGGCAGAATCTTGATAGCTATCCAATCAGGATTATGGGTACATGGAGGCTTACCTCCATGACTGGTACTGATGAATTTCCTATATGTGTGACATTTCAAAATAAAAATAAAAAAAAATCTTTGAAGAAGCAGCACTATTATAGTGGAAACAGTAATGGGCCTCAAGTCAAAAGATCAGAATTTAAATCTAAACACTGCCTTGTGATTCTGGATGAATCACCGCAGCTTTCTCATTCTTGTGTCCTCATATGAAAAGTAGCCAGGATTACTGACTTTTCAGATTAAAAGAATTAAGTAATATAACCTATGAAAGCAGTTTATAAACTATGTTAATCACATGCAAAATTTTGGCATTTTAGAGCCACCTGTATAGAAATGGTGACATCACTGGCATATACTCAACATGGACGACAGTACCTTTCTCAAGAAGGAGTGATTGATCAGATTTCTAATATAATTGTTGGGGCAGATTCAGACCCTTTCTCTAGCTTCTATTTGCCAGGTAAGAAATACTGATTTCTGTGAAAATAATGGTGCATGTTTTGTGTCTGAGTTATCTCTGAAAGGAGAGGCCATAGATTATTTTCTATAGAGTAGATCGCTTCATATTTGTTTTTTTAATGATTATTTAGAGAGAGAGAGAGGGAGAGACAGTGTGTGAGTGGGGGAGGGGCAGAGAGAGAAACAGAATCTGAAGCAGGCTCCAGATTCTGAGCTGTCAGCACAGAGCCAGATGTGGGGCTCTAACCCACAAGCTGTGAAATCATGACCTGAACTGAAGTCAGATGCCTAACTGACTGAGCCACCCAGGTGCTCCCAGAGCAGATCCCTTTACATGATACCCATAGCCTCTTAATGAGGTGGAATAGATTGCCCTGGGAGCCATGTATTGTTGATTCTGATTTTCTAGAAATACCATTGCTGTTTAGAGTATTAGGATAGTTTCCTTTGAACCTCAGTCAAAAGCAACATAAATAAAAATGTTACCAATGGGATGACTGGGTGGCTCAGTTGGTTTAAATGACTGACTTTGGCTCAGGTCATGATCTCACAGTCTGTGGGTTCAAGCCCTACATCAGCCTCTGCTGATAGCTCAGAGCCTGGAGCCTGCTTCAAATTCTGTATCTCCCTCTCTCTCTCTGCCCCTCCCCTGCTCACACTCTCTTTCTCTCTCAAAAATAAACATTTAAACATTAAAAAAAATTTTTTAAGGGGTGCCTGGGTGGCTTAGTCGGTTAGGCGTCCGACTTTCGCTTAGGTCATGATCTCGCGGTTCGTGGGTTCAAGCCCTGCGTCGGGCTCTGTGCTGACTGCCAGCTCAGAGCCTGGAGCCTGTTTCAGTCTGTGACTCCCTCTCTCTCTGACCCTCCCCTGCTCACGCTGTCTCTCTCTCTCTCCTAGAAATAAATAAAAATATTAAAAAAAAAATTTTTTTTTTAAATACTACTAATGACATTTACAATATATTTCACTAATTCATCAAATCTCTTGGAATCTTTAATATAGGATCTATTCTAGCCATTCTGTCCTAGGGCATGGTTAATTAGTTTTCCTTGAGCACTTGCAGAAATTGTAAATTTATTCCTTCTTAGGTAGCCTAGCTTACTTCATTGATGAACATCTCTGTTTAAAAATTTCCTGGGGCACTTGACTAGCTCAGCTGATAGAGCATGCAACTCCTGATTTCAGGGTTGTGAGTTCAGGCCCCACACTGGGCATAGAGCTTACTTTAAAAAAAGAAAAAAAAAAAATTCTTCCTAACAATCACTCCAAACTTGCCTTCCTATAATTTGTCTCCAGGGGTCCTTGTCCTTTGCTCTTCCTCTCGTACATGGCAGTGCTTCAGCATTTGACCCCCACTCCACTGACACCCTGCAGTCTCTGTTCTCAGGAACACACATCCCAGATACTTCCGTATCTCCTTAAGGTCTGATTTCTAGGCAACAGAGAACAGTGTGTAACCATTCTCCCCTTCCTGGCCTGTAGTTTATTATCGTTCCTATAAAAACATAGGGCCCGCAATTTATGTGGCCTTCCTTCTATATTAACATGTATTTTTGTAGGGCACATGGGTGGCCCAGGCAGTTAAATGTCCTGCTCTTCTTGATCTTGGCTCAGATCATGATCTCATGGTTAGTGAGACTGAGTCCTGTGTTGGGCAGACAGCACAGAGCCTGCTTGGGATTCTCTCTTTCTCTCTTGCTCTGCCCCTCCCCCACTCCAGTGCTTGTGCACTCTCTCAGAATAATAACGTTTTGTAAAAACATATATTTTTGAAAATATCTTTAGGGTTTGTGAAGTTTTTTGGAAACCTAGCTATCGTGGATAGTCCTCAACAGATCTGTGAGCGTTATCCTGTCTTTGTGGAAAAAGTCTTTGAAATGACAGAAAGTCAGGACCCCACCATGATTGGTGTAGCAGTGGACACAATTGGAATCCTGGGATCCAATGTTGAAGGAAAACAAGTTTTACAAAAAACAGGTTGGTATGACTTATTTTGGCTTTCTTTAGGGGTATTTTCATTTTTGGCAAGGATTCAATATATAAGCTCACTTGCTGGTACATTAATTACGTTGTAGAAACTATTCTTACAGATGGCAGTCTTTTTACTGTGATCTTGAACTCATCTCTAGAAAGTCTCATAATTATTTCTGAATTTTTATTTGTTTATTTATTTTTTACCAGGCTAGACCAAGTACTGTGTCCCGTCTATACCTTCTTTGATAGTGTTCAAGGTCCAGAGACCATGGACTAGAGTCCAGAGACCTGGATTCATGTTCCAGTTCCAACACTGACTTAGCTTTTTGAACGTCATACCCTCACTTCATTACTCCAGGTCTTATTTTCTCCTTCATAAGAAGGAGAAACAACTGCTTCTTGGGATTGTGAATATTTAGTGAAAACACACATTTGTTTTATATTTGTAATGTCCAGGAAGAAAAAGAAACAAAAATTTGTTACCAATTTTATGTTAATAATGACACTTTAAAGGCACATCAGTGAGTAATTTATTTACTTATTAATCTTTATGGAATCTTTATTTTTATTTATTTACTTGTTTAAATATAATTTATTGTCAAGTTAGCTAACATACAGTGTATACAGTGTGCTCTTGGCGTTGGGAGTAGGTTCCCATCATTCATCGCTTACATACATCTGTGAGTAATTTAAAGGACTGTGAATCCTATACAGAAACTAATATGGGCACAGTTAAAACCCATACAGAGTAGATGTTGAAAATTAATGTGCCGCTGTGTATCAGAGTTGATACCCTTATTAATGTACTTTTCTAAGTGCTTTTATGTAATACATGTACTCCTTATAGAGCCCTGCAAAGAACATATTATGCATTCTCATTTTACAGATAAGGTAGCTGAAACTCAGAGAAGTTAAAATTTTTTTAGAGCATACAGACTGGATTTGCTACTCAAATCCAGGGCCTTTAATTCCAAAATGTCTACACTTTGTCTTTTGTAAATGCGGTATTGCATATGAATGTGTGTTTTTGGCCTGTCACTTGGTGTCTGACTACATGTTTTTGGTTTTTAAGGTTTTTTTTTTAATTCTTAATTTATTTTTAGAGAGAGAAAGAGCACGGGAGGGGCAGAGAGAGAATTCCAAGCAGGCTCCACACTGTCAGCCCAGAGCCCATTACAAGGCTTGAACTCACAAACTGTGAGATCATGACCTGAGCTAAAGTCAGACGCTTAACCAGCTGAGCCACCCAGACACCCCATCTGACTATATGTTTAATTTTGTGTTGGTTTAGGTTGGTAGATGTCATAGTATATGAAAGCATACTTTTAAAAAAATTTATCATTCACTTCACACTCATTAGGATGGCTTATAATGACAGAAAAATGACAAAAATAACAAGTGTTGACAAGGTTGTAGAGAAATTGGGACCCTGGTACATATTTGGTGGGAAGGTAAAATGGTAGAGCTGCCGTGGAAAACATTATGGTGGTTCCTCAAAAAATAGTACATTGAATTACCATATGATCCAAAAATACACTTCTGGATATACATGCAAAAGGATTGAAAGGGACTCAGAAGATATTTATACACCTGTATTCATAACAACATTATTCACAATAGACAAAAAAGGTAGAAACAATCCGAATGTTCACTGATGGATGAATGGATAAAGAAAATCTAGTATATATGTACAATGAAATATCCAGCCTTAAAAGGGAAATGAAATTCTCGGGGCACCTGGGTGGCTTAGTTGATTAAGCTTCTGACTTCAGCTCATGTCATGATCTTGCAGTTTGTGAGTTCTGTGCTGATAGCTCAGAGCCTAGAGCCTCCTTCAGATTCTGTGTCTCCCTCTCCCTCTCCACCCTTACCCCCCGCCCTCTCTCTCACAAATAAATAAACATGAAAACAATTTATTTAAAAAAGAAAGGAAATGAAATTCTTATCCATGCTGTAATATGTAGAGACCTTGAAGACATTATGCTAAGTGCAATAAGTGGAACTCAAAAAGATAAGTATTATATGATTCTACTTATATAAGGCACTTAAAGTAGTCAAATATACAAAGACAGAAAGTGAAATACTGGTAATCGGGATGGACGTAGGCGACACGGAGAGAACAGAGTTTCAGTTTGAGATGATGAAAGAGTTCTGCAGATGGATAGTAATAATGGTTGATGCCACAGAGCTATATACTTAACAATGGTTAAAATGATAAATTTTATTTTATGTGTATTTTACCACAATAAAAAATATTTTATTATCTTTCAAAGGAACTCGCTTTGAACGCTTGCTCGTGAAAATAGGATATCAAGCAAAAAATGCCTCAACAGAACTCAAAATTAGGTGTTTGGATGCAATTTCATCTATTTTTTATTTACCAGTAAGTACACTGGGAAATTAATGAAGGACATTAAGATATGTTTGGGATAATAAATCTATATAAGTCAACATAATACTGGTTAACTTAATACATTACTCAACTTTTAGTAAAAGAAGATAATCCTCACTATGTTACTAGTGACATTTTTTAAGTTAAAGTGGAGTCATCCAGTATTAGAACTGGAGAGAGGGGGGCACCAGGGTGGCTCAGTCAGTTAAACGTCCAACTTCGGCTCAGGTCATGATCTCACGGTGGATTTGAGCCCCACGTTGGGGCCCTGTGCTGACAGCTCAGAGCCTGGAGCCTGCTTCACATTCTATGTCTTTGCCACTCCCCTGCTCATGCTGTGTCTCTCAAAAATAAATAAATATTAAAATTAAAAACAACTTTCTCTCTGTCAAAAATGAATAAACTTTAAAAAACATTTTTTTTAATTTTAACGTTTATTTATTTTAGAGAGACAGAGTGCGAGCAGGGGAGTGGCAGAGAGAGAGGGAGACACAGAATCTGAAGCAGGCTCCAGGCTCTGAGCTGTCAGCACAGAGCCTGACACGGCGCTCGAACTCCCAAACCATGAGATCATGGCCTGAGCCAAAGTCAGACACTTAACTGACTGAGCCACCCAGGCGCCCCCAACCCCCCCAAAAATTTTTTTTTTAAACTGGAGAGAGGACCTAGAGATTGCCTAATCAACCCCATCAGAATAAAACAAAAAACAAAGCAAAACTGAGGAAGTCTGAGCTGGATTTGGAAAAGACTTCTCCAGACTTAGCAGAAATCATATAGCAAATTAATGACGAGGGCCATCAGAACCCAGGTTTCTGGACTTCTGAAGGCTTGAGATTTTCCGTTTCTGTCCTGTAGCCTGAGCAGCAGACTGATGACCTCCTGAGGATGACAGAATCCTGGTTTTCTTCTTTATCTCGGGACCCGCTGGAGCTCTTCCGTGGCATCAGTAATCAGCCCTTCCCGGAACTGCACTGTGCTGCCTTAAAAGTGTTCACGGTAGGCATCCTTGTCATTTTCACTGGTCCTTCTGGGACGAGGCTAGTTTACCACATGAGTACTTATGGTGAGCCAGTGCCTCTGTCATACCCTCGGAATATGCAGACGTGTAGTGCGATTTCTGCCCTCTGCTATTAGTGTAGACTAGTGAGGGAGACAGACGTGTAAAGAGATTGTTGTGGGTCTTAGGTGTTGTGGCAGAGGTTTGAACAGGATTCTACAGGATCACAGAATTAATTCCAGATTCTTTATGTGCCGTCAAATAAGCCTTCTCTTGACCCAGCCCTAGTCTTCTTCCTGAGCCTTATTTCCCGCCATTCCCCTTCTGGCACCTAATGCTCTAGTGATACCAAACTGCTTGCTTCGTATCTCTGGACCTTTATGTGCCCTCTGCATTCAGCACTGTTCCCCAACTGTGCTTGTTAACCTCTTCCTCATTCCTGAAAGACTAGCTCAGTATCTTTTCAGCAAGCTTTGCCCAAACCCACAAGGTTAAGGTAAGCAGTATCAGCTCTCATAAAAGTTGTTTATTCATTATTTTAAAATTTGGAAAAGATCACGAAGTGGAAATTTTTAAAATCACTTAAAGTCAGACATGTTTTCTGTATTTCCTTTTAATATTAGTGTTAGTTTTTATTTATCTTTTTTTGGTGAAATATTTCAGACATCAGTAATACTCTCCTATCTCTGTCAGTCCCCTCCCTCTTCCTCCATCTCTGACTGTAATCACTGTCATGAATTCGGGGTTTATAAGCCTATACCTGATTTTATACTTTTACTAGATATGTGTGTATCTTTAAACAAATTACAGTATTTTGCATATTCTCATATTTTGTAAATGGTATTATGCTGTTTATATCATTTTGCAATTTTCTTCTTCCACATTCTCTTTGTAGGGGTTGTCTATGTTAAAAGTGGCAATTGAAAGTCATTATTTCATTGTATAGTGACAGTGAATCATTCTGTCAATGAAGAGTTCAGTGCTTCTCTATTACAAATAGGCCTACAATGAGCATTCTCAAAATGTCGTCCTGTGCACAAGTGTCAGAATTTCTTCAGGATAGTCTTCTCCAGTGTTTGCTTTTATGTTTCCACTGTTGTGATTATGCCATGAATATAATTTGGATCTACTTTTTTCATATCATAGATTTATTTATTCTTTATAAAAATTATTCTTAATGTTTACTTAATTTTGCTAGATACCAAAATTTACTCACCCACCCTCCACTATTAAGCATTTATAACTTTCACACCATGATAACCATCTTTATGTGCAAAGCTTTTTAATATTTAGATTATTTTCTTAAGTTAGATTTTCAGGAGGAAATTTTCTTAGGCAAAAAGTACCATTTTTCAGGTTCATGTTGCCAAAATTTTGTGTAAGGATTGTGCTGTCCACGTAACACATTTCACTTCTTAAGGCTCAGAGGAGTTGTGTTCTTTCTACCTTCCATTTCAGGCCATCGCAAATCAACCCTGGGCTCAGAAACTTATGTTTAATAGTCCAGGGTTTGTGGAATATGTGATGGACCGGTCTGTGGAGCATGACAAAGCTTCAAAGGATGCCAAATATGAACTGGTTAAAGCACTTGCCAACTCTAAGACAATTGCAGAAATCTTTGGGAACCCAAATTATTTGAGGCTCAGAACTTACCTGAGTGAAGGTCCATACTATGTGAAACCTATTTCCACAACAGCCGTGGAAGGAGCGGAATGATTTCTTCTAGAGGGTAGACCCGTTTTTTGACCAAAACTTCTAAGGCATTTGACTTCGCAAGTGTTTTACAAAACAGAGACTTCCCTTGCCCCAGAATTATCATGGAGTGTCTGATGTAACTTTATCACATTCATTTGTGGTGTTTCTACATTGAAATACAGTATGGAACCGGGAAAGCAAGCAACTTGATCATACTTACACCAGGTGTTTTTCAGATTTCTTTGACTGCCTCAATCTTTCCAAGAAGATGGAAGTTTTGTTCTCTCAGAAAATTTTCATGGACTTACCCATTGTCTTATTTAAAATTGTAAATGTTTTAAGTAGAATGGAACCAACTTGTTTCTGAATTCTCTTCACCACCTTTTTTTTGTTGGGGGGGGGGGTTCCTATACCCCCTTCTGATTCCACTTGCAAGTCTTGGATATACAGATGCTTTGAAAAACAATATGGGAATTTTGAAATTATGTTCTCCGTACTAAGAATAAATGCTTTTAATAAGGTGTCTTTCGATTTTTTTGTTACTATCATTCCTTTGGAAAGTGGACAATAAATAAATCTTGTAAAAACAGTTCTAGTGTTCTTTGCTTTTTTGTTGTTGATCATTGAATTTTACTGGAGGAGTAAATGTTAAAGGAGAAGGAGATAACATTCCTAAAACAGAAAGATTCCCCAAAGTCTTGTCTTACTTATTGGTTGGCCATCATTGTTGAGGGTTTTGCTTTTAATTTCTCAGATCCGTCAAGTCAGTATTGAATTGATCAGAGAGAGAAATACTGACTCCTAACAACCAGAGTCAGATGGTAGCTACTATATATGAACCAGGATGCCATCTCATTGATTGACAAAGGATGCACTTTCTTTTCATTGACGAAAAAAAAAAAAGTGCCCACCTCTTTCCAGTGCCCTGCTTTCTAACTGGAAGAGCACTTTATACACCAATCCTCAGTCTCAGGTTTCTGCGTGAGTGTGTTATCTGAATGTGACTGTTCAGAATCCAAAGATAGGTTTCTTTTAGGCCATGATGATGTTGATAAACCATCCCTGCTCTGTAACAAAATGGTCCTCAGGTCCCTCGAGTTCTCTTGTCCCAGAATTGATCATCTCACATTGATCAAACTGTGAGAATCTCGGTTCCACCATCTCTGATATCCCTCTGCGGGTCTTTTTCTTTGTTTGTTTCCATACTAATCATTTCTCTACAGCTAATACCACTAATTAGGCTACAGCAGTCTTTCCTTGCCTGTGAAACATTCTATCTCTTTAAGGTGACTTTGTTTAATCTCATTCATGATGTTGATTTTATTCATTTGACATCAGAGTTGAGAGAGTTGCCCTCTCCTATGTGGCCTACACACTCATTCTTACTTTGCACCAGTAACTTTTTCCTAAGATTAAATAAAATTTGCAAATTATTACTGTATTTCACATTTAATAAGTAAACACTATTGACTGCTTATGATATGTGTGGCATTGGGAAAAAGTGTTAGACATTGTCCTAAGTGCTAAATTCATCTCGTTTATGTTTTTACATCTGTATTCCACAGATGAAGAAACCTGGGGTTAGAGAAGTTAAGTAGCTTATCTTAAAATCACACAGGTAGCAAGTGACTAATAGTGGAGGAAAATAGAAACAAATTTCTATTGGAAATAGAAATAGAACATTAGCGTATAGTAAGTACAAGAATAGAGAAAAACAGGAAACACCTACCCTAGACTTGAAGGAAGATTTTTCAGAGAAGGAAACACCTGAAACTCAAAGAACCAATAGGAGACAGTCAAGTGAAAAAGGAGAGTAGCAGGGCAAGCAGAAGGACAGACCGAAAACAGGAAACATTTGGGGGAACTATAAGGCGATATGGCCAAAGCCTGGAACTTGAAGAAAATTATTAAATTCTTTGTCATCGTTACTAATGGTAGCTACTGTTTCTTACAGATTGCACATTCCAGAGCCAATGTTAACCTGGCTTCCTGGTGGCTAGTCAAATGCTTTACTTGATTATATTCTGAAGATAATAGCAAACAAATGTGTGTCGAACATTGTTCTAAAAGCTTTTCATCTATTAACTCATGTTGCTATCTTTCCCAGGAATAAAATACTGTTATCACCCTGTTTTTACACATGAGGCTGAGGCACAGCAAAGTTAAGGAACTTGTACAAGATCACACAGCAAATAAGTGGAGACAAGATTTGAACCTAAGCTGCTTAACTCAGAACAAATGTTTTTAAATGCTACCTATTCCTCTTATTGGACATTTTCGGTGGGCCAAATCCGATGCTAGGTGCTTGACATATCTCATTTAGGTCATAAGTCCTACGAGGCTGATTCTGTACATTACCTGAGGCTCAGTATATTTTAGTAATATATCCAGAAATATTATCTAATAAGTGTCATGGCAAGGATTTTCAAAGTGTATTACTTTGGAAATATCTAAAATCCCTAGGACCCCAGAATGGGAACATTGATCTATTGCCTAGTTATTACACAAGAGAAGTCACAAAGTGTGTTGTGAGTTGAATTGTGTCCCCAAAGAAGTTAATGTTGAAATCCTAACCCCTGATTCTTATAAATGTGACCTTATTTTGAAATAGTTTTGCTGATGTAATCAAGTTAGGATGGGGTCATTTGGGTCCTGATCCAATGACTGATGTCCTTAGAAGAACAGGAAAATTTGGACACAGCACAGAGAAGAGATTCTATAAAGTCACAGGCACACGGGAGAAGGCCACGTGTGAAAACAGGCAGAGATTAAAGTGATCTGTCTGCAAGCCAAAGAATGCTAAGCAAGGTTGCCAACCACCAGAAGGTAGAAAAGACAAGGGAGGATTCTCCCTCATAGGCTTCAGGGAGAGCAGGGTCCTGCCATCACCTGATTTCGGACATCTAGTCTAAAACTACAACAGATAGGGATGCCTGGGGTGGCTCAGGTCATAATCTCACCACTTGTGAGTTCGAATCCCGCGTCAGGCCTGGAGCTTGCTTCAGATTCTGTGTCTCCCTCTCTCTCTGCCCCTCCTCTACTCTGTCTCTGTCTCTCTCTCAAAAATAAATACATATTTTAAAATTTTTAATTAAAAAAACTAGAATAAATAAATTTCTGGGTTTTTTAAAAATTTTTTATAGTTTATTTTTGAGACAGAGAGAGGCAGAGCATGAGCGGGGGAGGGCAGAGAGAGAGGGAGATAGAATCTGAAACAGGCTCCAGGTTCCGAGCTGCCAGCACAGAACCCAACGTGGGGCTTGAACCCACAAACAGTGAGATCATGACCTGAGCCAAAGTCGGACGCTCAACCGACTGAGCCACCCAGGCGCCCCTAAATTTCTGTTGTTTTAAGTCACCGAGTTTGTGGTACTTTTTACAGAATTTCTAGGAAACTAATGCAGAGGATGCACATTAGCAGGGAATGGGAGTGTGTAGCATCCCATCTGTAAAGCACTGACTAATTAGGACTTGATGAAAATTGCTTTACAAAGAGTTAGTGATACAAGTCTTCAGTATGGTTTAAGTTAACATATACTATGTGGTTCATACGTTTAAATTAAATGTAATTCTGCTACCCAATTACTAAAATGCTTCCTGCTTACATACAAGATGACGATTTTGTTCAACAAATCTCTTAGTGTTTGCCTTTAATTCTGAGCATTCTCAAAAATCAGTTGCCATTGCTATTGCTGGATCATGACAGTTCCACAGAATATGATTTTTATAAATTCATTAACTGTAAAGAAGACAAGACTTTGGGTTATAGTTAAATTATAATGTTCTCCCTTTTTTGGATAGAAAGTTTTATTTTGAAAAGAATGCTATCTCAAATTATTTCATAAAATGAAATCTCAATATGATGTACATCAGAGCATTAATAACATTTTGCAACTCGCTGAGAGAAACTACAAAAAACACATGGAAGGAGGAATGCTTTCTATAACAAGGCATAAGTTAATTTAAAAAGAACAAATATATAAGAAAAAGCCCAAAAAATAAATAAATAAAACCTAATCACCCAAATACATGCCATTGTTTTTTATGGTACCCATGTGAAAACGTTTAAGGGTGTCAAAGTATGTCAGAAGTTTGCAGGAAATGAGCCCGTAGTAAGTCTCAAACAAGGTACATTCTTTCCCACTGCTAATTTCCTTCCATGCCAGGGGCATTTCAACATCTGTAGGTTCTGAGGATGTAAAAATGAACTTATAGCAACATCTGTTGTATCTGATGTGCCTTTTCCCAGAAAATCTTGAACTGTGGATGGGTATAAGACCAATAGACTTTGCACAAATTCCTACAAACACATCAGCAGGAACCATAATGGGTACTTCTTTGAAAACCACATACATCATCCGAGCCACATCTTGGGACATAATAAAGGCCTCGCCACTACAGTAATCGGGGTAGTACTTTTCTGGGTACTCACTAAAAGGGACAAATTCTTGACTATTAGGATCCCTGTTGGGTGTATCTTGATGGATAACTCTTCCTACATAGATATCCTCCAGGTGTTCTTTCAGATTGAGAAGATAGTCTACCAAACTTGGTACATTGACAAACATCTCTTCATCAACCTTAAGAATGAACAGGGCATTGGGGCAGAAAGTCACAGCCCACTGTGTCATCGTGATGATCTTCAGGGTTTGGTTCTCAGCACTGTCCAAGAAGATTCCTTGAATTATATCATTGTTCTTATGGGACTCTTTGTCTATTTCTTGCTGGGTAGTTACCAAAATGGGCATTCCCAAAGCAAACACTGTGAGAATGTGGTGTCCTTGGACACTGGTCACATTACCCCAGGTTTTCCTGATGAGATCCCGCCTTGTTACATTTCCTGGGCTACTGAAGATAAGAGAGAGTAAAAATATATTCTTCCCTCTACACAGCGCTGACTGGCTCAGGACATAATACCTGGAAAGATTACTTCTTAGGGGCTCCATGTTCAATTTTCTTGCCTTCTCCTTAATTTCAAGAACTTTCATATCTACATATGGCAAAGCATGCAGAAAGTATTCTTCCACAAAATCAGCTCCAAAAAGCAAGGCATGAAATAGGATAACATTAAATAGAATAAAACACCACTGGTGAGTCCGAAGTCTGCAGAATGTCACCTAAAGAAGAAGAAAACACATGTTCATTCAAGCTTCATCTTCATTCTTGTTTTTGCCCCCACTGAATGCTTTCCATACTACTTACAGCTACTTAGTACTACTTAGAACTACACTATTTTAAGTGTTTCTGATTTGTTTTTGTTATCTATCTCTCCAACTAGATCATGGTCTCCTGGACAGCTGGCAGAGAAGAGACAGCTCTCTCTTCTCAGTGCTGCAGAGTTCAGTATGTGGCAGTAAGTAGACACTGAATGTTAGTTGATTGTTTTCTTGCTTGTTTGGATGAAAGCCTACTTACTATATGCAAGGCACTGTGTTGGACATTGGAGAAGCAAAGAAGAATCAGGCATAGACACATGGATATAAATTTAACAAGTAGCATTATTGTGCTAAAAGCCTACAGGAAAATATATATGTTTTTATCTGGAAGTAAAGCATTTGGATCAATTTCTTCTCTAATTACAAAGGTCAAGGGATATTTTTCCATGAAGTAGTTGCTTTTGTTGGCCAGCGAACAATGGCTACTATCAAACATTTACATCCTTCTAGTATGACTTTCCAATTTAATCTGATACTGAATTCTGACGTCTGTTTAAACGATATCCCCTAATCCATCTGACACATCTGTCAATATGGGCAAATTCCTGCTAACTGCATAGCACCCCTTCAGAGATCTAGGATGGCTCTGTGCCAAGCTTACTCCACGTCATCAAAGAAGATGGAAATTTTCCATCTGGAAGGGCATATAGAGTACCACAATATTATCCAGAGCAAGGAAACATTAAAGGAACTAAATTTCTATTGGAGCTTTGATTGACAAAGCCTCCCATAATAATAGTTACCTCTTACTGAGTACTTGCAATGTGTCAGGCACTGTGCTAAGCACTTTAAATGACTTAATTCACTTAGTCTTGGTAATATCCCTTTCATATAGGTTATTTCCAAAATTAAGGTGAACATCCAAGCTTAGTAACTTGCTGAAGATCATCTCAGTGGGTAAAGGCATGGGGTAGGGTCATAATTTGAACTCAAGTCTGGGAGATTCCAAAGCTTAACCACTGAGAATCCTGACCCCATCTTTTCATTTTTTATATCTACTGAATAGGAAAAAAAAATCCCTGCAATTATAATCTGAATCCCATTCCATTCCATTTTCTCAATGCTGATGATGTGCACATATAAGAAACTTCAACTTTCTCAAAGCCTATTTTAATAGATATCAAATGCTTCAAAGATTTAAGAAACTTACCTGCATGTTGTCTGTGAACAGTTTCAGGACTTTGGAAATTACTAAATCCAGATGCCAAAATTATGTCCACATGTAGCTCAGCATCATTCCAGTCTACCAGCAATTGAAGTAAAGTACTTTGTGCCTGAGACTTTAAGGATAACATTTCTTCCTAATCAACTTGAGCTTTTGTCCCAGAATACCTGCTGGCAGGATAGGGAAGCAAGTGCTGATTATGTTACAGCAGAGAGTGAATCCAGAACAAACAACAGAGAACACAAACCTTTTCAAATGCTTCCAACCTTGTGTACATTTTGAAACGGACCCGTTGCTGGTAGGCTGAATTCCTGGTGAAGGGTGTGTGGGGATTGAAAGAGCAGTTCACCTACATCACCTCTCATACATCATCACACAAGGAGAAATGTCATACAGTATGTTTTGGAGTGCTCCCAAGAAACTAAACAATTGGAATAGTTCTCGCTCCCTCGTATATGCACGTGCAAGGCATGTACTAAACATCAAGGAATACTCGTCATCCCTAATGGATGCATTTTTTTTCCACCCCAAAGAAACATCATCTGAGAGGTTTGGTTTATGTCTCATTGGGAAGGATTTTGAATTCCTAGTATAGGCTATGCAAGAACTTTACTAAATCAATGATATGTCACCCCAACTACCTATCCCAGCATTTTTTTATCTCAAAATAAAAAACAACACTTGGTCCATTTTAGCCAGAACTGAAGGAACTAAGCATTTGTTGTTTGCCATTTTCCTGGGGCATGAATGTGTAGGAGTTATTCCAAACACTGTTTCTACCAGCAAGTTTAAGAAAAGAAACAACATTCAGCATATTTGCATGTTCCTGTCACATCAGAAGTTGTATTGAACAGTTGTATTGAGCGTTCTGTTTTCAGGCAGGGCTGAACCATCTTTGTCTTTTCACATGTTGATGTTCCTGCCTGCCACTCACAGCATTTTTTTGTAATTGTTTGGCTAGGAAAAATTTCAATGTTTGCTCAACCATGTGTCACGCAATCTTGGAGATTTTTACAAAGTGGGAAAATCTAACCTAAAAAAATCATATGAAAGGAAATTTTTATACATTCTAAGTTTAACAACTAAACACAAATCCTATTTTGCAAATTTTCATTTCTTAGAGCTATAAATTTTGCTCCCAGATCTCCTCTTGGCTTCAACTTAGACAATTTGATTTCTTTGTTCATGAGAAGGTCTAACAACATTGCCTCTGGGGCAGCTCTATCTGGAATTTTCAGTTTGTTTCATCAAACTCCTACCACATTGGGGTTGAGACTGTTTGCTGCCAATAGATGGGGTGCCTAGTTTTCTTAATTACCTTGGTACTGGCTTGCCTTTCATACAGTTTATCCGATCTGCATACCTATGTCTTCCTACAATTTCTTATAATGTTGTCATCAGTCACTGTTTGGCTTAGAAGTCTACAGAGGCTTTCTGTGGCCTACAGAATCAAATTTGCTTTCTTGAAGCCTGACTTCCAAGACACCATACTTGGCTTCTACCTCACATAATTAAATTTTTATTTCCCGTGTTTCAAGTGCACTAGATGGACTCAGGATGGTTGGCGCCTTGGCCATTCTCTACCACTCACTGGATATGTGACTGTCTTATTATCTACCATTAGCTACATGTGGCTATTTATATTTAAATTAATTAAAATTATATTTCCTCAGTCACATTAGGCATTTTCAAGTGTTCGGTAGTCATAAGAGGCTAGTGGCTTTCTTATTAGACAATGCAAATAGAGGACATAATTGCTGAAAGTCCTTTTGTAAGGTGCTAGTATAAGATACCAGGGCTTGCAGTTTATGACCCTTTAAGGAGAGACAAGGAGTATTTATGCTCCTGAAGGGAGCCTGGGTTGAAATCCTAGGATAGCTGGTTACTATGACCTTAGGCAGGATGCTTAACCCTCCTTTGACCCGAGTTTCCTCATCTCTAAAAACAGAGCTAATAATAGTTACTAACGTCGGGCTACTGTGGGAATTGAAGGCGGTAACACAGTGATCAGGAGAGCGCCTGGCACATAGGAAGCACATAATTTTTTTTCTTTGATGCTTAAAGATACATGCGTCATCTTTCAGTCCTCAAAAAGATCACAAGAGGAAGTACTATAACTGCTATGCAGAAGAGGAAAATAAATCCAGAGAGGGTAAGTAAGTAGGCCAGAGGCATAGCCGGAGCGTAAGACTGGGATTTGAACCTAGATCACCTGACTCTGTTCTTTCGCTTACCAATCCCCTTAACTTGCCTTATTTTTCTCATTAGCACTTGCTAAGACTCAAACCATGCCTTGCTTAGTTGTTTATTTGCCGGCCTCCCCCGCTAGGTTAGGAGTCCCAGGCGGTCGGGTATTTTTGTACTTTTTACTCACTAACCCTATCTCCTAGGACAGTTTGGGACATATATGATAGGTAGCTCAATGGGTTGTTTCACTTTGGACATGTCTCTGAAATTTTCCTGCCTCTCCTCTGTAAAGTGAGGATAAGAAAATGCACCACACAGTTAGTGCAAGGTCAGATCGGATGAAGGACATAAAGGCGCGGGACAAATTCCGACAATCAGCACGGAAAACAGCGGAGGACTAAGCGCCACAGGTCTGAGCCATAGTGCGCATGCTCCAGCTCCCTCGGCGCTCTCCTCCGCCCGCCCGCTTCCCCCTCGAGGCCGGGGCCGGAAGTGCACCCGCGTCCGCCGGGCGCCGCGGGCGGAGGGACGCGCGGAGATGACGCAGGCAGCACCGGAAGCCGCTCCCCTGTGAGGTTGCAGACCCCGAGCGGCGGCCGCTGGTCCGGGTCTGTATGTGAGGCGGGGCCGGGCCGGGGAGGGGGTTCACGGGCGCCCGCGCCTCTGCTGACCAGCGGCGCGTCGGGCCGTTTGTCTTTCTCTCCCTGCAGGCGCCATGGCTGCGGAGCGGACCCGGCCGCTGCGAGGCTCTGGCGGCCCGAGCGCGCCTAGTCGGTGCGAGCCCGGCGCGAGGTCCCGGGCCCCGGGGCGCTCGCTCAGGTCAGTGCTGCGCGGAACGCGACTCTGGGAGCAGGGGACCTGGGAGCGACGAACGGGCTGAAGGGATCTGGAGTTGATTTTAGAGATGGGGAAAATTGAGTCTCGGAGTTACTGCCTCTTAGTTCTCAGCTTCCTTAGCCGCGAAATGAGTTCACAATGATGTCCCAGGGCTGCCATGACTTTGAAAGATGATGAAGTGTGCAGAGGTGGTTTATGAAGTACAGAGCGCTGTGTGACTGTGAGGGACTGCGCCCTGGTTGTGGGTATGCCATGGAAACAGGTGTGTATGCGGGTGGTGGGGGGCGCTTGATCTTCAAATAACCGCGTTCATGCTCAGTAATAATAGTAACTGGCGTTTCTTGGAGGCTTACCGCGCGTAGGGTACTGTGCTAAATGCTTGACGTGCGTTATCCGGTTTAATCCTCACGGAAACCCTTGCAAGGATTGCTGTTCCGTGGTTGCATTTTACAGGCGAAAGGCTGGACTTGACATAGGTGAAGTGATTTCCCCCAGGGTCACTCAGCAACAAGTGGCGTCGCAGAGCCTGTGTTTGATAAAGACTTTGTATTCTTTCAGAGCTGTTTTTATTCGTCTTAAAACGAAAGGCGGGTTTTAAAGAAATAGTGAGTGCCTTCACATGGTTGTAAATTAAAAGAAGGGCTCCTCTTGCGTATTCCTCAGCTCTCCAGTTTTCTCTGGAGGCAGCCAGTGTTACCAGCTTCTTGAATGTTCCAGAGATCTCTTAGGCGTGTGTAAGTTTATAAATCTAGATACACGTTTTCAAAACCTCTGCACTGTAACGGCTGATTATGCTTGATAAGAAACTAGGGACAGCAGATGTCTTGTTTTCATTCTTAAACTAGGCCAGGTCCTGGTGGAAGAGAGGAACACGTATGTGTGATGTTTTATCCAGAATCTCTGAGAAGACCTGGGGGTATAGGTTTGGTTTTGTTTGTGATGGTGGGGGGCTGGGGGCTGGGTAAGGTGTTGAGCTGCTACTTCCCGTGGGACCCTGGGAAAGTCACTCCACTTCTTGGGCCATAAATTTCCTCATTTATTAGTTAAGGGCAGTAGTACTGATACTTTCCGTGAACAAATATGAGAGTTGCCAGAGGGAACATAGGGAGTTAATGGTAGAACCAGAGACCAAACCCTGGCCTCCCGGCTTCCAATTTAGGAGTCTTCATCACACCCACTTCAGAGCTTTGTGATTGTTAATATTGAGGGCAGAAGGGCAAGCTTAATGTTTAATCTGAAGTGGGGGGGGGGGGGAAGACAGCATGGAGTGTGGGTAGAGACAAAAATGCACCTAGCAGGGAATTCTAGCCTCAAGTCAATAACTGCCCTTAATTATAAAATCAAGCCCCAGTAAGTTTGAGCCCTTGAGTTTTTCTTCCAAGTATTTTAAGCCAATTTAAGGGAAAGTTTATGATAAGGATCATAGGGTTGAAAGGGTTGTTAGGAGTCCCGTCTTTTCCAGCCTTGGGGCTGCTATAAGCTTTCCTGGCAGGTATTCATTGTAATAAAACTAACAAAAGCACCATCCCTGCCCAGTTTTGGGGTTTCACAACCCTCAAAGTGAGTGATAGCTTCCATTTTACAGATAGAACTGCCGTTTAGAAGTTGGTCACAGATGCCCGTGATTGCACAGGAAGTGGCTACATCACTGAAAAGACTCCACTGACTTCGAAGCATTTTCATCTGCCTCATTCTGCCTCTGTTTCTAACTGTCCTTGACTTTCCCAGTAACGGGAAGCTCACCATTCTGGAGGCAGCCCCTACATTATTGGAAAGCGCCTGATGATTTAAAAGTTCCTCCTAAGGGGGATGGAGTGGCTCAGCCAGCAACGTGTCTGACTCTTGATCTCAAGTGTAGGTCTTAATCTCAGGGTTGTGAGTTCAAGCCTCTCCTTAGGCTCTGCGCTGGGCGTGAAGCCTACTTAAAATAAAATAAGATAAAGTAAAGTAAAATAAAATCTCCTCCTCATGTTTAATTGAAATCCCGCTTCCTGAAGTTTTGCCTTGGGGGCTTGTGCTGCCCTTACGTGATATTCCTAGAGGCTCCCTAAAAGAGTTCATTTTAGACCTGTGACCTTAAGAAAGTTACCTCCGAAGTCCGTTGTTTTTGGTTGTTGTTGTTGTTTTAATTAGAAAATTAAAGACTGGTATTTTTTTAATAGTGCAGAGTTGAGGAAAAATTCTTATTTTGGGTTAAGAGAATATATGAATCTCAGAAACAGCTGGGTTTTTTAAAGGTGCTCGCTGGAAAGTGTGTCCCATAATCTTCTTTGGCGTCATGACTCCATTAATTTGGCATGCTGTAAGATGTGTCTTAGTTTTTTTTAATGGTGGGAACCTGATAATGTTTTCATGGGTATTATAAATTTGCCGTGCGGTCATTTAAATAAGAGTTCAGCTTACATAGTGCAAACGTTTCTATGGTGGATGTGTGGCTGTTCACGTGTGTGTGGGTGTAGGTGTGATAGAGGAAGCCCCCCAGGCTTTTTCACTGTAGAAAATGATTTCCTGGGCACATGTTTTGGTGTGCGGTTTTAATTGGCCAGTATTAATTACTTAGCTATTGTGACATTTTATAAGTGTCCACAGAAATGAGTTGTTTTGCCTTGCTGTGATTTTTTTTTTCAAGTAAAAAATTTCTGGAAATGTTACAGATAGAAGGTTGTTTGGATTCAGAAGGAGGAGGCATGTTAACTTGTGTTGTTGATTAAACTTTTGGTGAACTGATTATTTTTTGGCTGACAGGTAAACCCTTAAACTAATTAATTCTGCTGAGCCCAAACCCTGAGGATTCCAGATTACTTTGAAGTCCATTCACTGTTCCAAAAACCACAATTATTAGATAGTAGATGATGTGATTGGAAAGTTTGGTTGCTTTTACTGTTTTTTTTGTTTTGTTTTGTTTTTTGTCCGATAACATTCTTGCCAAATTTGATACTGGGAAATTAGTGAAAAGGACTTTTATTGACCTTACATGAACCAAGTTGGAAGATGAGACCTGGCTTTTGATGTAGACCTCATCTAGGTGACATATAGGAAGAAATTTATTTTCCTCTTCCACATTAATTTGGATATTACTTTTTAAAATTAACATGGCAATCCGGTGGGAAACTAAGTGATCATATTAGAAGGAAAGATTTGTTTTTTAATTACGGAAATGTTTAAATAGCATGTAGTTAAGAGAATAAAAAACCTCCATGTATCCATCATCCATCACTAACATGTATCAACATATAGCCAAATGGGAAAGATGATTTTTACTGATTTGCTGTATTTTTTCCCTTTTTTGTTTCCCTTTTTGTTAGTTTATTCCCTGTTCTTAAAAGTGGGTTGACACCTTGACACAATATGTAATGCTGTATACTTGTAAAGGTTTCTTTTTGTTCCAGTTAGTCCTGGAGCAATGTGTCATTCTTTTAAAGGATGGTGGTATAATCAAATAGGTACAGTGCCCCCAGATTTTATGACCGGGTTGTGATTCTCCTGGTTGTAGCTGTGGTCAGAGAGAGACAGTTCAGTGTGGTTGAAAGAGTACTGATGGAGAGAGCACTAACTTCCAGGCTCTTCTGATGCTCTTTTAAAAGCTCTGTTGACTGTAGGCAAATTACTTACCTTCTCTGAGTGGTAACTTCCTCCTCTACAAAGTAGAGATGATGCTACCTGGGTGTTTTGGAAGCATTAGGATTACTTACTTGTGCAAGCTTCCTTGACCCTCTTTGCTCTCTGGGACACATGGTTAAGAGTTGTCACCAGATCATATGAGGCTTATAAAAATGATGTAAGGCTACATAAGGCCTTTGGTAATTCTTGTCCTAACAGGCCATGGCATAAAGGAGGTAGAAGAACCAGAATACCTGAGCCACATAACATATTACATCTGCCTGTTTTTCTGCCCCAGGCCTTTTTTGCCTGAACATTTATTGAAAAGCCAGTAGTCAGTTCTGTGATTTTGGTAACAGGTCAGGCTGTGCCTAGCATGGTAACTAATGTCTCCGGTTACTGCTCAAGAGACTTGCCTTCTGATTGCCACTGCCTTCTAGTTGTCACATGCTGGTGCTTAGTTTTGTGATTTTAGTGCCTAAATAGAGTGTATTAAGGAAATAGTGTTATGATGGTTTTGATGGGGGAGGGGAGAGAAGTGTATAGAATAAACTATTTTTTTTATAACGAATGCTCTGTAAATCTTTTATTGTGAAGATGCATGTAGCATGTGCTAGACTTCAAAAGGAGCAAGTCACAACAACATAAATATCACTGATTTATATTTCAGAGATCATGATTCAGTAAAGTATGTTTTCTTAGATATATTTTCTTTTGTATGCATGGAAGATTTTCAAATACAGTGTATTAACTGTAAGTTTGTAATGTAACTAAACATAAAGTTGTAATGCCAAGTTTTTTTACACTAATTTTTATTTGTTAGCAGTCTTGCTTGAACGGTCTTTTTGAACAGAACTAATACAATATTTTGATGTGCCACAGGTAAATTTTTCCATAACCTTATGGAGAGAAAGGACTTTGAGACATGGCTTGATAACATTTCTGTTACATTTCTTTCTCTGACGGACTTGCAGAAAAATGAAACTCTGGATCACCTGATTAGTCTGAGTGGGGCAGTCCAGCTCAGGCATCTCTCCAATAACCTGGAGACTCTCCTCAAGCGGGACTTCCTCAAACTCCTTCCCCTGGAGCTCAGTTTTTATTTGTTAAAATGGCTCGATCCTCAGACTTTACTCACATGCTGCCTCGTCTCTAAACAGTGGAATAAGGTGATAAGTGCCTGTACAGAGGTGTGGCAGACTGCGTGTAAAAATTTGGGCTGGCAGATAGATGATTCTGTTCAGGACGCTTTGCACTGGAAGAAGGTTTATTTGAAGGCTATTTTGAGAATGAAGCAACTGGAGGACCATGAAGCCTTTGAGACCTCGTCATTAATCGGACACAGTGCCAGAGTGTATGCACTTTACTACAAAGATGGACTTCTCTGTACAGGTAAGAGATTCTGGAGCTGTTTTGTTGTGGTTGTGCGTTTCGTAGGGTATAACCTTAGAAACAGAACAGACTATTCCTTAGGCTTGAGGATGGCAAGTGTTAATTATATGAGGTATCTGTAGTGGCATTTCCCCCTCCCTCCATCCCTGAGTAGTTTTACATCTCTTTATCCTCTTTCCCTCTAGGAGACAAATCATTTTTATAGAATTTTATGAGAAGAAGACTCCAGACCTTTCCTTTCCTTTCCCCTTCCCCTTCCCCTTTCCCTTCTCCTTCTCCTTCCCTCCCCTCCCCTCCCCTCCCCTTCCCTTCCCTTTTTCCTTTTTCCTTTTTCCTTTTTAAGTAGGCTCCGTGCCCAGCATGGAGCTCAATGCAAGGCTTGAACTCACAACCCCGAGACCAAGACATGGGCTGAGATCAAGAGTCAGACACTTGGAGCGCCTGGGTGGCTCAGTCAGTTAAGCATCAGATGTCAGCTCAGGTCATGATGTCGCAGTTCCATGAGTTTGAGCCCGGCTTCGGGCTCTGTGCTGACAGCTCAGAGCCTGGAGCCTGCTTCGGGATTCTGTGTCTCCCCCTTTTTCTGCCCCTCCCCAAGCTCATGCTCTGTCTCTCTTTGTCTCTCAGTAATAAAATAAGTGTAAAAAAGAATAAATAAACATTAAAACATTAAAAAAAAAAAGAGTCAGACACTTAACCAGCTGAGCCACCCAGACGCCCCCAGACATTCTTTAAATGTGATGTGAATCAGAAAGCTGTAACTAATTTTTCCAGTGCTTTTTCCTTCCATGTATAGTTTTCCATGTTGGTTAAACTTTTTTTTTCTATCAGCAATGATTTTTGAGGAAAACCCGTGGAAAAGATGATGTCTAGACTTAGCAAATAGTTAGATCATCTTGGAAAAATTTTACTTAACCTCTCTATGTTTGTTTCCTTATCTGTAAAATATGGGAAGGGAGGCATTTCTTTCTTGCTGAAATTCCTGTGGTCCTAAGAAGAATTAGAAGTTAAGAGTTTGGGCATGGAAACAAAGACAGTTGGATATTTTAGTCCTAAGCAGTTAAGGAACAATGTAACAAATATAATCTTTAAAATTTGGAATTTTGTGATTCTTCTAATTATAATGGCTTATGTTTCTACATCTAATCAGTGCACAATGTTTTAGCCAATGCATTTTGACAGGCATTGTAAATAATTCTTAGGCAATGTCTAGAATGATTTCAGGCAGTCTTATCAATGATCCTGTTGCCTTTTCACTTCCATTGTATGTAATATTTAGGGATCCTTGGTGTTCTTTTTTCATCCAGGATAATTTCTAATAAACATTTGAGTATTACTAAAGTACATAGTTGCCTTTAAAAATCTTTTTTTTTTTTAGTTTATTTATTGTTAGAGAGAGAGAGAAAACAAGCAGGGGAGGGACAGAAAGAGAGAGAGACAAAATCGGAAACAAGCTCTGCACTATCAGTACAGAGCCCAATGCGGGGCTCAAACTCACGAACTATGAGATCATGACCTGAGTCAAAATCAAGAGTCGGATGCTTAAACCACTGAGCCATCCAGGCGCCCCTATAGTTGCTTTTTTTAGTAGCATATTCTGTTCCCTTGAGTAAATATATCATTACTATGTAGCCAATTCAATATTAGTGCATATTCAGGTTGTTTCTATGAATTCAGAATATTTCTATGAAATACTTATGAAAATTTTTGTTTGCTTTTTCTCCCCCTTGAATTATTTATTTGGGGCAAAACCCTAATAAATAGGGTAAAGTAGAATTACAGATCCAGAAATATAAATGATTTTAAAGCTTCTCTTACTGTCCTTTCCAGAGAGATTGAATTGGTGCCATGGCTACAGCAAAGTTTTAAATAACCTGCTTCTCCCTCAGAGTTCTGCCAGTTCTAACATTCTTAGATGTATGGTGTCTCAAGGATTTACATTTTCTCATATGCTGATGTGTTTTTCTGAAATGCTGGACACTTTGCCAGTTTTTTAAAATAAACATTAAATTTAAGGCATTTCTTGGTTTTGTTTATCATCCTAAAGTTACTCCATGCTTAACATTATTCCCTGTCCTATAAGCCCGATTATTGGAACAGTATCATCTATTTTATATTTGATGTGCTTTCCCAATTGGGGTGGTGGCTTTTCTGTGTCCTTTTCGCCTAATGATCAGTGGCAGGTAGTTTTAAAGGCTAAGATGCAGTGTTGCCTTTGAGCTTTGTCCTCATTCACACTTAGCCAAATACTGTCAGTTGCCTCATTTACAGAACCACATCTAGCTTTTTTAAAAAAAAAAAAAATTCTCATCAAACTTTACTTTTGAAATGCAGTAAAACTTCAGTTAACTTGGAGCAGAAGTGAATGGACACATTCACTGAATTCTTTAACTACCTGGAAGGTTAATATCTGCAATAACTGTGGACCCAACCCTGCATTTTAAGGTTATTCTCTAGGTGGGTCTATATTTTGTATTTTTTATTCTGATTAAAGTCATCATTTGTGTATTGAAAATTAAGCTCTGTCTATTGAAAATGATCCAAAAGCATAAATTTTTCTAATAGCTGCATCCCTGGGACTATAACTAATGAGAGAAGTATTTGTTATGGAATTATACATACCTTTGTTTCATGCTGTTACCAGAGAGGTGTGTATCCTTCTGCTGAGTTCTGAAATGGTAAGAAAGGAACTTGTTTTGCCTTGTGCTGCTCAGTAGATATTTAGAAAATACTATGTGAAAGACAATGTGAGGGCATATATGGATGAATTAGAATAATTCTTTGCTCAGAAAATAAACACACTGGAGTCAGGAAGGAAACCTGATTAAGTAAAAGTCTCCCTGTAGACTATGCTAACGAGAGAACACTTGCCCTTCTAGACAGGTAGTTGTGGCTCCACGGTAGTGAATTAGTGCCATGTGGGATTTAGGCTCACGGTGGTCAGGTCTGATTTTAAGAGAAGTCCCAAATCTAGATTTTTGTGTGCAATATTCTGATTTTTTTTTTTTTAGTCTACTGATTTTTAAGTATTCACATTTTTTAAATGTTGTGGTTGGGTCATATTTAACCTGTGCATTTGGCTTATAGTTGAATAAGAAGAACAACAGCTATAAAAGAGATGTGGTCAAATGAAATAGTTGAATTGTATGAGGAAAAAATTCAGTTGTTCAGAGGAAGGAGTGGTGTCTTCCATTTGCAAAATTGAGCAGTGTTTATATTGGATCTTGGAGAATGGGTAGATTTTAGAGGAGAATAAGCGCTTTCCCGTAGGAAGATCAGCATTAGCAAAGGTATTGAAAGGGCTAAGCATGGAGCATGTAAGAGGAAAAGAAAAATTCTTTTTATCTGAACTCAGGATATAATTAAGGACTCCATAAAAGATTCTTAGACTATAAGCTGAAGAATTGGCTTGAGCTGCATTGTAAAAACCTTAAATATTGGGAATATGAGTTTGGACAGCTTTCTTTTTTTTTTTTTTTTTTTAAATGTTTTATTTATTTCCAGGAGAGAGAGACAGCGTGAGCAGGGGAGGTCAGAGAGAGAGGGAGTCACAGACTGAAACAGGCTCCAGGCTCTGTGCTGACTCCCAGCTCAGAGCCTGACGCGGGGCTCGAACCCACGAACCGCGAGATCATGACCTAAGCGAAAGTCGGACGCTTAACCGACTAAGCCACCCAGGCGCCCCTGGACAGCTTTCTTTAAGCAATAAGAAAAAACCTTGAAAAATTTCTGAGCAGAAAAAGGGCCAGGACCAGAGCATTCTGCTCCAGGTAGACCAGTGTTTCTTATTTCTTTCAGACCCCAGGTCCTCTTTTTGAAACATATTTTACGATGTTCTCTTACCTTGAAGTGAAATTCATAGCAATAACTTAACCTGTACGTACACATATTTCAAAAAAAAAAATCAATATAAAACCTAAACTCTGATCCAGAGGAGAAATAAGAAGATGGTAATTTAAAATAATGCAAATTAAATGTGTTGTGTTCAAGCACAGCTGTGCTAGAAGATGGTAGAGTAATCAGATATTTTTACCTGTGTGTATACTGTCGTCATGAACATGGCAGTTATAAATAGCACAGTGTTGTATTTGTACCATCAGTGATGTGGTCTCAAGTGGTGAAAAGCCCCCAACAAAGCAAAGTACATTTTTCCTCAGTCTACCTGGTAGTTACACTCACAGAAAATTCAGAATAAACTCTGTGCTTTGTAAAACAGGTCCAAGACTCAGACAACGAAAAATAAGCTTTTCACTTATAAATATCAGGCAATCAGGCAGAGCCTTTAAGAGGTCATGCAGAATACAAGACAGTTAGTTTTGTGCACTGTCCCAAACACTGCAGGATGTCTGGCATTTCTGGTCTTTGCCCAGTGAGGCTAGTAATGACCTCTGCCCCCTCCCCCCCCGAAATCATTGTGACACTTGAAACCATCCCTACAAATTTCTAAAATCTTCCCATCTTCCCTTGGAGGATGATAGTACTTATATGGAGACCCTCTGACATAGACAAACTAGAATTTCTAAATTAAAGTATTAACATGTTGCATTTTAGGTAAAAGTAGATAGATCTTGATTTAGGATAGTAAGCATAGAGGTTTTTTCTTTTTTCCTTAAGGTTTATTTATTTATTGAAAAATTTTTTAATTAAACAACTTTTTTCATGTTTACTTTTGAGAGAGACTGAGCATGAGCGGGGAAGGAGCACAGAGAGAAGGAGACACAGAATCTGAAGCAGGCTCCAGGCTCTGAGTTGTCAGCACAGAGCCTGATGAGGGGATTGAACTCAGGAACTGCAAGATCATGACCTGAGCTGAAGTCGGACATTCAACTGACTGAGCCACCCAGGCACCCCACGGTTTATTTATTTTTGAGAGAGAGGGAGTGTGCCCACAAGTGGGTCAGGGTCAGAGAGAAAGGGAGGCAGAGGATCTGAAGCAGTCTTTGTGCTGACAGCAGAGAGCCTGAAGCAGGACTTGAACTCCTAAACTACAAGATCATGACCTGAGCTGAAGTCAGATGCTTAACCCATTGAGCCACCCTGGCGCCTGAAGGGTAGAGATTCTTTTAAAGGAGCAGTTACATGGAAGAGCAGCCGTTGAAATGGAATTAACAAAATTTAGCGATGGATTGAGTATGTGGCGAGGAAAGGGGCAGTTTCAAAAAATGGCTGAGATTTCTGGCTGGAATTCCTGGAAAGGTAGTACTACTGGTAAGAAGAATAGGAAATGAAGGAATAAATTTGAGAGGGTGGAGGGAGTTCAATTTGGAATGAAAATTTTTCTTTATATTTTCTAAAGTTAATTTAGTTTTGAGAGACTACAAGCGATGGGGCTCAGAGAGAGGGAGACAGGGAATTCCAAGCAGGCTCCGCACTGTCAATGCAGAGCGTGATGTGAGGCTCAAACTCAGGAACCGCGAGTGAGATCATGACCTGAGCTGAAATTGAGTCAGATGCTTAACTGACTGAGCCACCCAGGTTCTCCTGGGATGAACTTTATTTATTTATTTATTTTTGTTCTAATGTCATTTTTAATCTGCCTTGAAATTTCTTAAAATGTAACATAATAAATTGTGTTGTATGGCATTTTAGTGCTTTGTGTGCATTCAGTCTTTTTTTTTTTTTTTTTTTTTACAAATAGTTTATTGTCAAATTCCTGGGATGAACTTTAATGCAGTTGGATATGAGTGGAGATTCCCACAGGGGTCTGGAAATGCAGCATCAGAGCTTTGGGAAGTAGCTTAGGGCGAGAGCAAAAGGCTGAGGAGTTAGTGACACTACAGCGATGGCTATGATAGTGACATTTTAAAAGGAGACGGAGAGGAAAAAGAATAGAGCCTAGGATGGGCCCTTGAAGAACATAGAGAGGGAAGAGGTAAAGAAGCACAATGGTGATGAAGAGTTTCAAGAAGGACAAGGAAAATTACCCGTGTTAAAGAGGCACCGGCCAGTTTGTTCAGTTGGTCATTAGAGTCAAATGCCTCCAAGAGGCAGTCGAGAGCTGAGATCTGATGCTACCAGTTAAATATTTAAGCTTTGCTTGATACGATAGTTTATTCCATTTGAGTTACAGCTCAGTTTTCTGCTTATCTTTGTTATATACCCACCCCTGGAATTTTTTTATATCAAAGTATTGTTTTCATCCTCTTCTGAATTGAAAGGGCTTTTTTTTTTTTCTTTCATATAATGAAAAACAGTCTACATTTATTTACTCCCCTTTCGTCTTTAGGCTGCATCGCTGATGACCTCCTTGAAAACACGGTGGACTTCTCACTGCAGCACACAGGAATTCATAGGAAAGGGTGAAATAAAACTAAAAAGGAGTAGAGAATAATGGATCCTAAAGGCTTAGCGGTTAAGAGTAGACTTGTACCACTAGAAAATGGAACTGAAATCAACTTACTGTTCTCTGATGCTTCACTAGGGGGTAAAACTGAGTGGCCCAATATTTTCCTCTATAAATTTATTTAAAAATTAGGATAATCTCTCCCTTTTTTTTTTTTTAAATCAAATTGTGGTACAATATACACTAGCTTGAGGAGCCAATCATGCCATTTCCTAAGGCATATTTAAGAAACACCTAGATTTATCATTTTAACCATTTTTTAAATGTACAGTTCAGATTATCTAGACACATTGTCCAATATAGTAGCCACTGGCCCCATAAGACTTTGAGCTCTTGAGATGTGGCTAGTCCAGACAGAGGTGTGAAATGGGAAATCCTCAGTAGGTTTCAGACTCAGAATGTAAAATATTTCACTAATAATCTTTTTGATATATTGAGCTAATGAAATTTGTATTAAATTGTTTTTACTTTTTAAAGTAAACAATAGAAAATTTTTAATTACGTATGTAAGTTACATCCGTGGTTTGTATTATGTTTCTATTAGAGTGCTATTCTACATCATTGGCTTTCAAAATATTTCTGATGCATGAGAATCACTTGGCAAACTTTTAAAATGATCAGGCTCCACGTCACAGTTTCTAAATAAGAATCTCTGAAGCTAGGGCCCTGCATGGGTGTTTTGATGAACCTCCCCAGGTAATCCTTTTTTTCCTTCCAAAGATTTTATTTTTAAGTAATCTCTATCCCCATGTGGGGCTTGAACCTACAGCCCTGAGTTCAAGAGTCACCCACTTTACCAGTAGAGCCAACCCAGTGCTCCTCCCCAGATGATTCTCGTGTCTCATATGACCATTGAGAACCACTAACCAATTCCTACTCCTTATTTTATAGAGAAGAAAGTGAGTCTCTAAATAATGGAGTGACAACAGATACAGTCTTCATTTTAGTGTGTTCTCCTAGGGTTTGTTCAAGTTGAAATTCATGCTCTACCTCTTTCATAAGTGGTAACTAGTTTTCCATTGTCTGGAACAGTGGCTTTTTACCAATCCTTAAAGGCAGAATTGTGGCCAACTTGACTTAGTCATTTCATCCTTTCCAAAACCAGTTATTTGGTGCTTTCCTGCATAGTGTGTCCTTGTCATAGTTGACTGTATTTGTTGTGTCCTCAAAATGTCTTTGTCAATTCTTACTACTTTTTTATTATAAAGGTAAATTGTGAGAGTGATTGAGTCATTATGCCTTTAAACATAATTAAAGCTAATCCTGAATTACAATGATTGGTATATTTTCATCAGACACAGAAATAAAACCTACTTTTTTGTACAGAATTTTAAGGGGCTTACAAGCTCAGTGTTGAGTTGTGAATGCCTGGGGATGATTTATCCATGGTTTTCTTAGAAGTTGCTCTGCACATTTCACGATGGCTCAAAGAATTAGCAGTCAGCCTTTGCAGAAGTTAACCTGTGATCTGAGTGATCTGAGGCTTATCTTTGACTACCCATAGAGTAAAACTTGTTCCAGCAGGCAGCTTAACTGTTCAGCATTCTTTATTTGTTCGGGGTGTTAGGTCATAGATAGGTATGCAAATGTATACATGTAGTCATAGGTGATATCCTTCATTTCAAGCTCAAATCAGAAAGTTCATGATGGTCAAAGATTGTGAAATTTTACAAGTAGAAGCGCCAATGGATGCTTTAGTCTGGCACTCCTCTATGGGCTGGAAAGTTAGGGGAAATAGACTAAACCAAAAGCTTGCATTCTGGCCCCGTGCTGTTAACGCCATTTCGGTGACCCTGAATGAGTTGCATTACCCTCTCCGTGCTTTGCTTTTCTCAGCTGTGAAGTGGGAATGCTTAGAGGAGGGGACTGTGAGGTTCTGCTTGAAGAATACCTTGGTTTGGGGATTGATTTTCCTTCCTTAGTGTTTGTTTTCTTACTAACTTCCCTGTTTTTCTCTTGAAGGGTCAGATGACTTGTCTGCAAAACTGTGGGATGTGAGCACAGGACAGTGTGTTTATGGCATCCAGACCCACACTTGTGCAGCAGTGAAATTTGATGAGCAGAAGCTTGTGACAGGCTCCTTTGACAACACTGTGGCCTGCTGGGAATGGAGTTCCGGAGCCAGGACCCAGCACTTCCGGGGGCACACAGGGGCGGGTGGGTTGCCTTTTTCAGGGGTTTCTACAGTTCATTCCGTAAAACCAGGAGCCAAGAATATGACCCCTTTTTTGTTTAATTTTTGTTTTTTAACTTAATTAAAATTAACTACCTTTCCCTCCTCTGTTTTTCAATAACAGCAGTTAATCCCTTTATTTAAGGTACCCTTATTTGGATTTTTTCCCTGACTTTTGCTTTCCCTTGGCCCATTTCGAAACTCTCCTTTGTACCCTCATGCTGGGAGGAGGCAGTTCTCTGTACCTATTTCACTTATACCCTGTTGAACAATCAGTCCATTTTACTTTTAACAGCGTCCATACTTCCAAATTGAGTAAGTGCTACACTTGTAAATTCAGTCTACTTTATTCGCCGAATCAGGGCTCACCATCCTTTGGAGTGATGGTGGTTCTCAGATTGTGTGATCGACACATTTTTACATTGACTTGGAGTTTGGTTGCCAATTGATTAAAACAAACCAGTGCCTGGAGGGAAGATGAAGGAAACAGATACCCGAATGTTTCCTAATGTGTAGTGGCCTGGTGTGCAGAAACTGGTCATTTGAATATAGCCTCGAGACCGGAGCTTCCAGCTCTATTTATCTTGGAGTTTGTGCAGAGATCATGTTGGGCTGTTTCCCAGCCTCTGGTGCAGCAGCCCCTTCGTCCTTCCCCCGTTACCCACTGCGCTAGCCCTGGAGAGTCACAGTCTATGCTCTCAAGCATCACATTTTATGAGCAGTCTGCTTGGACTCCCTGAACAGCATTCCCGGTAACCTGTATCTTGTCCTCACACTCCTCATACAAATAAGTGTGGGAGTCTGCTTCTTCACCGGCGGTGCTGCCGGCAGGCAGGGCTCCTGCCTGTCTTGTTCTTCCTTACGTCCCCAGTTCTTTGCATTGTGTCTGGTGCTGAGTAATCCTTCAAAGTGAACCTAGCTGCTTTACTGCTGAAAACCACTTTTTCCCCATTTTGTTGGTCATCTTACACATTTTCCTCAGTCTGCTTATTTGTTACCACTTGTTTATTATAGAAATTAATATTGGAAGATCTGTGATTTAGCATGGAACTTACTAAATTGAGTATACTGTTTGATAGTGTCAACATGTACATTGACTTCCAGGTGATCAACCTCAAGAGCCTTGCTCTAAAAAATTTCATTACTGTTCCCTGCACATTGCTGTGGCTTTTCCATAACTCCCTGCCTTTGCTGTTCCCTCTACCTGCAATATTCTTCTTTTCTTGATAAACTCTACTCATCCTTCAGGGCCCATCTCCAATACCGCCTCTTCCCTGAAGTCTTCCCTGATATCCCTGGGCAGAGTTAGTCATTCTCCTTGGTGTTTCCCTAGCAAGAGGTAAACGTTTAATTTTTTTGGACTTCCTCCTTCACCCCTCCCTTAGACTGAGTTCCTTAAGGAAAAGCCCTTCATCTCTGGTTCCCCAGTTCATTTAGAGTTTGGCAGGCATTTAAAAACAAATGTTTTGAGTCCTTGCTCTACTCAGGCACTGTTTTAGGTGCTGGGGGTACACAGGGTATACCTGTGAAGAAATTTAAACAGTTTGAGAGAATGGTTTAGTCTGACCTTTGAGATACTTGTGTGTGTTTTGTTTTTCTCACTACACTGGCTTTTCTTGATTAGGGTATTGTTTTCTTGATTATGGGTATGATTCTTGACATCGAGTCTCCTGCAACGAATAGTACACATCTAAGTAAGGCCACTTCTGTTCCTGTTTTCCCTGCATAAGCTGGATTGGTTTTGTGTCGTATCAGGCAGGCGGTCCTGAGTGGAAGGAAATGCCATTACCTCCAGTACTGGTTTTACCTCTCACTTTAAAGCTAGCACAAGTATAAAAGATTGCGCTACTCCAGGGACCTTCCATCCTTAGAATAATAAGCTATAATAATAAGAATTTTGAACTGGATATATTTTTTATAAAATTCTTAACTGAGTAGCACTGTTCTTATAGTAACTGTGGTTGAGAAACTATACAGTTGAGCAGCTAGGGAGAATGAACGTTATTGAACTCTATTATAAAAGACCCTCAGGGGCATGTTTTAACTTCGTGTGTTATATATGCTAGTGTTTAGCGTTGACTACAATGATGAACTGGATATCTTGGTGAGTGGCTCCGCAGACTTCACTGTGAAAGTATGGGCTTTATCTGCTGGGACATGCCTGAACACACTCACTGGGCACACGGAATGGGTCACCAAGGTAAGAAGAAATCTCCTTGTCATGAGACTGTGAAGGGGTGAAGGAGCTGGGGTTGGGGTAGAGGATGCTAGGTGCTGCCTTGTAAGTGGTAGGGAAGCCGTGAGGCGGAGCAGATGCACCCACAAAGCATGATGGCCTTCGACAGTGACCAACCAGTGGAAGACACTCAGTAAATAGTTTAACAAATGAATGACTTATGACATGGAAAAATACTGACAATATATATGGTGGGTATAGGGACCAAATAAAACAGGCCACAATAGACCTACTGTAGAGTGTAGTAACAGTTTCTGAAAAAACATGTTTATGCACCGAAATGTTAAAGGTGGTTATTTGGAATTATGGGTGCTTTTTTCCCTTTAGGATAAGATTATTTCTTTTTTAATCAGAAAAGCAATTTTCATTAAAAAAATAATAACTGCAAGGAGTGGAATGAAGAAAAACTGTATAAAGTCCTTAAAAGAATATTGTGGGGTTTTCTCGTTTTCAAAAAAAAGACGGCTCTGAGGATCAAATGCAGTATTAATCATGGAAATGTCGTGCAGAAACACTTCTCCAGAGCTTACCGAGCATTTCTGTGTGGGGTGGAGAGCACAGGAGTGAGCACAGCAGACCCAGGCTTGATACGGACATTAGCCCAGTAGCCCAGTAAGAGAAAGAGTTACTAAATAGTAATTTCACAAATAAATACATAATTACAAATTGTGTTAAGTGCTCTGAAGGAAAAAGTGCAGTGTTCTGTGAGAAAGACTAGAAGGTATCTAATTAAGTTCATTCAGGGGAGAGCTTTTCGAGAAGGGACAAAACAGGAAGAAATTGGAGGTAGCTGCATACAGGGTAGTGGAGTGTGTCAGTGTGCGCAGGGTATGCCCAGGCCCTGGGGCAGGAGAGAACCCAGACTGTTTGATGACGTGAAGGCCACTGGAGCTGTGCTGGGGGTGGTGTGGAGAGGGGGCCATTGTGTGTGCCAACCACGTTAAGGATTGTGGATGTCTTACACATAGTGAGAAGCAGTTGGCTGTTCTGAGCAAGGAGAAAATAACCACTGATGAACAGTGGATTAGGGTCGGGCTCAGTGGACATAATGGGGTCAGTTAGACATTTGCAATAATCTAAGCAAAAGATACCTGTGGCTTGGATCCAGGTGGCTCAGAAAGAGAAGAGCACACATGGAGGCTGTGCCTGTAAGGTACAGCCAACTGAATGTACCGACTCCTGGGGAACAAAGAAAAAGAATCTGATGTCCAGTGGGTTTCAGATCGGGTGGGTGAATGTGTTTTCCTGAAATAGGTGGAGCTGGGGAGGGAGAGTAGTTTGTTAGAAGGTCAATAACATCACTGAACTGTACACTTAAAATGGTTGAGATAGTACATTTTATGTTCCATATCTTTTACCACAGTTCTGTATTGGACACAGTGAATATTTCAATGGAAAAATTACATAAGACAGTTTGGTGTTGTGTTAAAAACACTGGAGGTGGGGCCAGGATGCTGACTGTGTTGTTATAGACAAGTCCCTCCTCCCTTCAGGGCCTGACACGGGACAAACCAGCATGGTTTCTGCAGTTAGTAGGTCTGTCCGTTTCATTTGAGTCTGCGACCCGGGCTTCAGGACAACCAAGCCTGGCCACCTCCTCACTTTGTGCTGACTTATTACCAAAATAACTGGCACCTAAGTGTTTACAGACTATGCCAAGTGCTGATGGATGGCTCGCTCTTATCTCATTCTCCTCCTCATTTAATCGTTCTATTTCATTTTCATTGCAATTCTGACATCTAATAAATGCCTCATCCCCTGTTTTTAAAGATGAGAAACAAAGGTGCCAGATGGTTTTGTCCAAGGTTGCAGAGTCAGTATATGGCAGATTCTGATCCTAGGTCCAGTGCTTTTTCCCGTACAGTGCACATGCTCATGAAAACAGACCATTCGTAACTACTTCTAGGTCTACGGGCAGTTTTCTTTCCTGTTCTCACACTTTCTATGAGGTCATCTTTTACAACTTTTTAAAATCATTCCAAATGTTTGCTTCTAGACTAAAGCAGAAATTAAATGCTGCCATCATTAGACGATTTTAGATCCTGCTAACAATATAGAGAATCTGGCTGTACTAACTAGAAGCTAACTTGGTCATAGAGTTACAACATAGCTACTCTAGCGTACCATCTCATTTCGGGCTCTTTTTCATATTTTAATATTTAAAAAAGTAATCCAGAAATAGTTTAAAAAGGAACTTTCTGTAACATGAATGTTTATGTTTCTAGGTGGTTTTACAAAAGTGTAAAGTCAAGTCTCTTTTGCACAGCCCTGGAGACTACATACTCTTAAGTGCGGACAAATATGAGATCAAGGTAGGTTTTTTCCCCTCCATTAATTTGCCTCATCAAGGAAAAACTGGCAAATATAAGAAAATTAAAGTGGCGTAGCACAAGGGGAATATTTAAAGGGAAGCAGGAATGTCTTACTATAAGCCATCTTCAACCCATTGGAAAGAGAATTATTCATTATTTCTATGTACAATGCTGTTTCTAACCCTGATTTGTAAATAAAAAAGAACCACAGAAATGTATCTTCATATTCTGTTTTCTTAAGACACATCTCAGGCTGCCTGAGTGGCTCAGTCAGTTGAGCATCTGACTCTTGATCTCAGCTCAGGTCGTCATCTCACAGTTTGTGGGGCCCGGCCCCACATTGGCCTCTGTGCTGGTGGTGTGGCCTACCACGGAGCCTACCTGTGATCCTGTCTCTTCTCTCTGCCCCTCCCCAACTTGTGCTCTTTCTCTCTCTCTCGCTCTCTCTCTCTCAAAATAAATAAACTTAAAAAAAAGACACATCTTGTACCCACTTCAATTCTTAGATCTACGCTATAAAAACAAAGATTTACTTGTTAAATTTTTTTTAATGTTTTATTTATTTCTGAGAGACAGAGACAGCATAAGCAGGGGAGGGTCAGAGAGAGAGGGAGACATAGAATCGGAAGCAGGCTCCAGGCTCTTGAGCTAGCTGTCAGCACAGAGCCCGACGCGGGGCTCAGACCCACAATCAGTGAGATCATGACCTGAGCTGAAGTCGGTTGCTTAACCAACTGAGCCACCCAGGCGTCCCAAGATTTACTTGTATAATAATAAAAAAAGTTTACAGAGCGCTCTTGTATACATTCTTGCTGCATTTTAAAAATTGTTTCGTGTGGTGGGCATCTTCATTGTGGGAACTGAGGTTCAGAGAGGTTAAGGATTTTAGCCAAGGTTACACAATACATATAGGCAGCAGCAGAGCTAGGACCTATGCCTCTCCACTATAAAACCTGTGCTCTTGCTCATCTACTTCACTGTATAGCTGGCTTCAGCAACCATAGGCCACATTGTTTACGCGTAAGCTTGTCTATGGTGATGTGATTTGTCATGTTGTCTAATTTTCTTTTATCTGTAGATTTGGCCAATTGGGAGAGAAATTAACTGCAAGTGCTTGAAGACACTGTCTGTCTCTGAGGATAGGAGTATCTGCCTGCAGCCAAGACTTCATTTTGATGGCAAATACATTGTTTGTAGTTCAGCGCTGGGTCTCTACCAGTGGGACTTTGCCAGTTATGATATTCTCAGGTAATGCTTCCTTGAGACTGTAACCTCTGACAGTCTTTTCTCATTTGTTTGTTTGTTTGTTGTGGTTTGATAGTAAAGTCAAGACTAAATACTTGTATAAACCATTCAGTAGCTTGGTTTGGGAAATGTTTACTACATCAGTTATAAACAGGGTTATATACTGAAAATCGCACACATAAAAATACTAAATAGGCAAGAATTAGAGTTTCATGCTAGAACCTCAAAGATGTAGGTTCTAATCCCTTGCCTTACTGTGTTACTTCCCCCTTTCAGAGTTTACCATGCTTTTCTGGAAAATAAAAGGCTTGGGTATAAAGATCTTTCAGGTCTCTGGTTCTAATATTTTTTTAAAATATATTTATATTTTATTTTTAGACAGATAAGGTGTATTTAGTAAAATAACGATTTTTAAATTAAGCTTCTTATCTTAACTCTAGGACAGTTACCACACAGTGTTATAGCACCTCCATGCAACACCCAGGGCGCATAAGAACAAGTGCAATGCTTAGTCCCCATCACCTGTTTCCCCATCCCTTCACCCACCTTCCTTCTGGTAACCATCAGTTTGTTCTTAGTACTGAAGTATCTGTTTCTTGGTTTGTCTCTCTCGCGCTCTCTCTTTTCTTTTTCCTTTGCTCATTTGTTCTGTTTGTTAAAGTCCACATGTGGGTGAAATCATATATTTGTTTTTCTCTGATTTAGGATTATACTCAATAGCTCCATCTGTGTAGCTGCAAATGACAAGATTTCATTCTTTTTTTTTTTTTTTTTTTAAGTTTGTTTTGAGAGAGAGAGTGTTTGGGGAAGGAGGGGAGAGAGAGAATCCCAAGCAGTCTCCATGCTCAGCACAGGGGCCCAAAATGGGGCTTGATTTCACAACCAAAGATCAGGACCTGGATCCGTATCAAGAGTAGGACGATTAACCGACTGAGCCACCTGGGTGTGCCAAAATTTGATTCTTTTTTATGACTGAAAAATATTCATATATATAGAGAGAGATACAGATTTAGATATATATGTGTATACCCACACACACCACATCTTTATCCATTTTATCGATGGACACTTAATGCTGCTTCTGTAATATGGCTCTTGTAGATAATGCTGCAGTAAACATAAGAGTTCATGAACCCCTTTGAATTAGTATTTTTGTACTCTTTGAGTAAATACCTAGTAGTGCAGTTGCTGGATCATAGGGTAGTTGTTTTTAACCTTTTGAGGAACCTCCGTATTGTTTTCCACAGCAGCCGCACCAGTTTTGCATTCCCACCAGCAGTGCATGAGGGTTCCTTTTTCTCCACATCCCTGACCACACTTGTTTTATCTTCTGTATTTGGTTTTAGCCCTTCTGACAGGTGTGAGGTGATATCTCACTGTGATTTTGATTTGCATTTTCCTGAAGATGAATGATGTTGAACATCTTTTCATGTGTCCATTGGCCATCTGCATGTTTAGCTCTGATAATTTAAGTTCTACTCCCTGGTCAGTGAAATTCTGTATTGAGGGATTAAATGGCCTATTAAGTAGTAGAAAGATGGAGGTATTTAGAGAAAATTGGAATTTGTAGGATTTCTCTTCAGAGAAATAAGGAAAGATCCATAGACAAGATAATTTTGTGATTCACTGCATAACTTAGACCCTTCTTGGAGATTGATGGTAGTTGTAAGCATACTGGAGGCTGATGGAAGCCAGTGGTATATGGTGATGAAGAGAACTTACTTTGATGATAAGCCTTGGTTTAAAATCTGGTGTCCTCTCCTATGAGCTGGATGATTTTATGTAAGTTTCTTAATCTTCCCATGCCTCAGTTTCCTGACCTATAAAGTGAAGATTAAATGGAACGTCTGTAACAAGGACCAAGTATGAGACCTGGCAGATCTTTATTACTAATAGCCCTGAGAAGCCCTACATAAAGAAGCCTGTTTGAATTTGTTTAGCCTACTGTACCTCACACTCATTGTATACAAAGCCCTTTTTTTTGAGGAACACCTATTAAGGGCCCACAGAATTAGTGTTCCACAGCACGGCAGGAAGTGCTGGCTTGGAGTAGTATAGAAAATTGAACATTCTCATCAGTGTTTTTATGCATGACTGTTTGGGGGCAGCTTGTATGAGATCTGTCATGCTAGCTAATCGTACTTTGTCAGGCTCTGTCTCTGGTCATACAGTTATAAATAACTCCTTTTATATCTTCTGGAATCAGAGCAGCAATTCTAACCAATTAGGTTTCCAAGCTGTCAGAATCATTTCTAGAAATGATTGATAATTATGCTTTGAGAAAAAAAGACTGGAATAGACCCTAGAAAACTTTAAGCTTTTCATTTCATAGGTGGGGAAACTGATGCCAAGAGAAGGTATGGGCATTGACTAACATCTCGTAACTCACCCTAGTCCTGCATCTGTCCATCCTTCTGTCTGTCCGTCCGTCCATCCATCCATCCATCCATCCATCCGGCGTCATCTAGTAGGCATATGCTTAAGGTACCAGCAAGCCAGAGGGAAAGAACTTTTTAAAGAGTGATACTTGGCAAAAATCCAAGTAGTCAGCATGAGAATCATCTTATCTTTATTACAGTTTAATATTGTTTTTGTTTTGCTTTAAAATTTGGATAGGTGGGATGCAAAGGTAAGGTGGAATAATGCTTAGAATCTCTAAAGGTTTTAATTTGATTGCACATTTACCTTTCTCATGTCTGTATTTCTTTTATTTAGAATGGCTTAAAGAGAGTACAGGGTCCCAGAAGAAAGCTGTGTTAGTTTTTGTTATTCAGATACACTAGCTTTGAGTAATAACTACACTTTAGTTTGCTGCTAGGAAGTGTTAGATTTTTCTTTCTTTTTTTTTTTTTTATGTTTATTTATTTATTTTGAGAGAGAGAGAGAGTGAGCACACAAGCAGGGTATGGGCAGAGAGAGAGGGAGGGAGAGAGAATCCCAAGCAGGCTCTGCACTGTCAGCACAGAGCCAACACGGGGCTTGATCCTATGAACCATGAGATCATGACCTGAGCCAAAATCAAGAGCTAGACTCTTAACCGACTCACCCACCCAGGCACCCCTAGATTTTTCTTTGAAAGGGGCCATTTATACCTTGCCACCTCCTCACCCCCTGCAGCACAAATAGACCAGCCTCTTCTGAAATCTTAGTGCAACTCTTGTGGCCTCAGTTGCTAAGTCCAGGTAGGGCTACTGATGCTTTGAAGCAAACCGAAGAGAAGCAGAGCACTTGTGGTAGCACACGGTGCTCAGTAAATCTAAGACCTGCAGTCTCTTCAGCTAAGTTACCTCAGTACAGCAAGCAGGGTGATTAAGTTCAAGGGCCCAGATGGCACAGCAGGAATGTCTGTTTACCATTCTAAAGTAGTCACAGTTACAGGGACTGTGAGCCTATCAAGACCTGCATTCCCCTCTGCACTGTATTTGTGCTTCAGTGATTGGAGTCTGTTCATCTTCACCAGGCTTGGGTCCTATCCCCTAGCCACCTGGTTATCGAAGTTTCTGGTTGTTTCCTGCTTTGCATCGGCGATGTGGGACTTACTGGACTTTCTTGCTGTTTTCCCAGTTTCCTTTGGATCTCTTCTGTAGGAGCTTTTATTTGCCAGTGTTCATTGCTCTATTCATTAGCAGATATTTATTGAGCACCTACCTGTGTTTTAGGCATTGGGATATACACTGGGAACCTGCAGAAATACTGACCAAACTTGTAGAAATTACTAACCAGCAAGAGGGAAGACGGACATTAAATAGCTAGGTGTTTTAATGGTTGGGCTGAGGGCCACACAGTATGGGGCACTTTGACACCCACCTAGTTGTGTTAGGGAACGCACCTTTGAAGAAGAGGTTTGAGCCGAGCTCTGAAGTATGAGTGTCTGCACTAACTAAGTGCCAGTGGGTGGTGTGCAGTAAGGAGCTAGTAGACCAAGTGACCGGTCTGTTCAAAGGCCCTGAGACTGAAGGAGCCTGGTGGTGGAGATTCGAGTGCAGTAGAGAGCCATCAGAGGGTTTAAAGTTAAGTGAGGTGGTGATAGGATCAGATACTAGAGTGAGATTAGCTGACTGCAAGGGGCAAAGAGTAGATGTGGGAAGACTAATTGAAACTGCTGGCAACAGTGCAGACAGAAGGTGTGATGTCTTGGATCAGTCTTGGCAATTTAGATAATAGTGAATAAAGTAGGAGAAAACGTTAAGAGGTAAAACCAATAGATCTTGGTGGTTGAATTTGTCCCTTGAATAAGGTAGAGAGTTGGATGGTTGCCATGATTCCTTGCTTGAGCAACTGAGTGAAAGAGCAAGCAAGGAGGTAAGGAGGAGAGACGGGCCTAGCCCACAGTTCAGATTCGGACAGGTTGGGTGTGAGGAATAGGTCTTCTCCCTACTCACTCACCCGCTCCCTTCCTAATGTCCGCTGAAATCTGCTTGAACCCGAGTTCCCTCTTCCAGAGCTCATGATGTCTGGCCTCCCACATCCGCACACATCGCTTCGTATGTACGTGGGACTATCATGTATAGTCTCCCTGTCCCCCCACTGTGTTTCTCCCCCTCAGCTGACTTCCTTCACGTGTCCCTTCTTTGTCCCGCTTGCCAGGCCCTGTCCGTTCTGGCTGAGCGCTTGGACACACACTAGTTGGCAGTGTCCTTGTTAAAATGCAAGTTAACCCGGCCTCTCACAGGGGCCCCCACATTGTCCCAGAGCAGGATTTTCACATCCTTCTCTCACAGCTCGTTTAGTGCCTTCAAAGAGGACGTTGACTTTTCTTGTCAGTCTTTTGCCTCGCTAAGTGTGCAGGCCACAGAGCCTGTGTTTTTGTGCTCCTTTCTGCTGCTGTCTGGCTGCACTGCTCCTATTCTGTGCCTTTGTTGTCAGTGTTTGGGGAAGGTGAGGGGTGCCCTCCCCACACCCCCAGTCTTCCCTAACAACTGCCGGGGCATCTGTTGTTAGTGTTTCTGGATTATTTAGGAGCACCTTTATTCTTGCCTCTGTTGGGTTTAGAGTTGGCTCCCTGCCAAGTCGAGTAACACTGGAGCCACCTGGTTTCCAGTCTTTGTTCCAGGCTTCAGGAGGCTCCCACAGGCCAGTGTTCTAGGGTTTGGTGAATCCATCTTTTTACCTAGTGGTACAAGTGGGGTCTTGGAGTCTAGTTCTCTCTGGTAATCCTTAGCCACAGTATGGACCCCGGCTGGACGTTAAGTTTTCACATCTTGTAAATGAGATGTTAAGTGAGAAAATCTGTAAGATCCTTTCCAGCCTGGGTGGGCATCTCGTGCTTTCAGAAGTGGCCATGAGATACTCTTCCCTTACGTGCCGCTATGATTATGTCACTGTGAAGGGTTCTTCCCCTTCCCCTATTTTAAGCTCAGCTTTTTGTCTTTTCCATTTTTATCGAAAGCTTTCATTTAACTCTCTAAATTTTCTTGAATTTTATATTGGTTTTAAATGTCTCCAGAAAAGATTACAGTGGCAGAAACCGAAGTAAAGTTGCCTTCTGGTTCATGTTTCCTAACTCTCGTCTTTGTAGGGTCATCAAGACTCCTGAGATAGCAAACTTGGCCTTGCTTGGCTTTGGAGATATCTTTGCCCTGCTGTTTGACAACCGCTACCTGTATATCATGGACTTGCGGACAGAGAGCCTGATTAGCCGCTGGCCTCTGCCAGAGTACAGGAAGTCAAAGAGAGGCTCCAGTTTCCTGGCGGGCGAAGCATCCTGGCTCAATGGACTGGATGGGCACAATGACACGGGCTTGGTCTTTGCCACCAGCATGCCTGACCACAGTATTCACCTGGTGTTGTGGAAGGAGCACGGCTGACACCACGAGCTTACCACCACTGACTGACTTTGGGTGCCGGGGCTGCGGGTTTTCAGTGCAACCTCTGTGGCAGCCGACTGCATGAACCAAAGTTCTCACCTAATGGTATCATGGCGCAGTGCACAATCATTTATCCGTGTTTCCAGGGGCCAGCGCTCGGGGCGGGGGAGGGCTCGTTTTATCGACACACAGCGCAGCATGCTAGTGGGGTACGCCATTGACTTCATTTGTACTTAGTTATGTTGGTCAGTATAAGAGGGTGCGTTTTGGGTTCATCTTTCTTGAATGTTGGTTTTAAGTAAAGAAAGTTAAATGGTTCATTAATCTGCTAATTGGTTGCCTATAAAAACACATTCAGTCTATTATTAAAGCTTTTTACCATCGCCTTTTTTTCATTTGAAGTTGAAGCAAAGGTGCTATGATGCTGTTCCAGCAACTTCTCTCACATGGGGCTTAGCTTTTATAATAGCCAGTGTTACAGAGACCGCCGAGTCCTGTGACATTCATGAACTCTCCACCACATGCCAGTTCTGAAGAAGCTCGGTCTTCCAGGGCACATCAACACATTCTAAACCCTAGTACTTGGCAGAGTCAAGGTTGGCCATGTCTGAGATGTAAGGGAGTTCTGTGGTTTTTGTTTCCGTGTGAAGCAAGCTGGTCATTGGTCCCCTGCCGCCTGGGTGAGTGCACGGAGGTGACTGGTACAGTAGAAAGAGCACTGAGCTGGCCGGTTGAAGACTGGCTCTGTTACCTAGGAGCCCTGCCACCTCGGTGCATCACTTCCCTGGGCCCCGTTTTCCCTGTCTGTACAGCCAGGTGTTAAGCTAAGTGAATTTCTAAGGTTTTGGTCCTGCATCTACTGAAGTGTGGGCAAAAGTTGATATTTCAGTTTTGTCTGATTCATTGTTTCTTTTGGGATGAAGATAATATTTAAATGAAATCACTGGCACAAAGTTATCTATAAGGAAATCAGATGGACCCAGGGGAAATGTAGAAAATACAACAAATTCCCTAGAATGTTAGCATTTGGATGTTGGCAGATTGGATGTTAGCAATTGGATAAAATGCTGAGGAGAATCTTGGTTCTTTAAACAGACAATGAATGGGCTGTATTGGAAGGAAAGGTACCCGAACCTGACATTTTCTTCCTCCTTTGTCTCTAACTTGATGTGTGGCTTCAGGCTGGTTAACTTTTTATCCCTGGGCCTAGATGAGGGTTTACAAAACTCAGATGCCCAGGGTTGCCATGCAGATAACATAAAGGATTGACGGGTGTTAGGGCTGTGCTTAATCACAGAAAGCTTATTTAATGGGTCAGTTACTCAGCTCTAAATGATAGCTCCAGTGGTGGCAGGTCTTCACGATTTTTTTTAAGAGGACGTAGAAATCCAGATTTTTATTTGAAATCTCCTGATTTTTGAAATGTTGACAACTAATTGTAGATAGTGTAAAATACCGTGAGCTAAACCAAGCATGTCTATGAGCTACCAGTTTGTATCTTCTACCCTGTCATTCCTGTGAAGTTAGGTAGTTCTGTGATCCGCAGTGGGAATATTTTAACATATTTGTCACAACATTAGGGACAAAGTAGAGGGAGCGAGCTGTAGGACAATTCAGCTGTTTCCCATTGTGTTACAGGAAAGTGAGGGGGAGTGTTTCATCTGTGGGCCAACAGGAAGTAGTTTGAAGGTGAACTTACGAACTGGAACCTCCTTTGTAGTCTCCGCCTGGGAATATGAGTTCTTCATTCTTTGTGATGCGAATATGAAGGCATCTCCGTTTTACAGGTGGGAGAAAGGCTCCCAGCAGAGCTGAGAATGATGCCAGCCCTGGTGGGGACCCAGCCCCGCCCCCCCCACCCCTGCATTCCATAGTGGCACAGAACCAGACGGTGACCTCTGAAGGCCGTGAAGTTAATATTCTAGAGAATTCGTGTTTGGCTTTTCAGGGACAGGCTTAGTTAATATTCTTGCTGAGACTGTAAGGGGATTAAGTAAGAGAGTAATGTGTTCTCCACCCCCAAAGGCCATCTCGCACTGAGTTCTGTGCGTGAGCTCTGCTCCAACTTGCAAGAACTGGAACCAGAATTGCGGCTGGAATCGATTTTGCAGGAGCCTCAGGAGACTTTGGGCAATGATGAGGGCAAATGACTTTCTCCTCTTCCCCCAGCCTGAACAGATAACTGAGATCACAGATCTGATGGCCCCACCTCACTTCCAGATATATCCGACAGTAATTGTTATTTGTGGGATTTTTTTTTTTTTTTTTTTTAATGACAAACCTGGCCCTTTTACAGCATGTCCCATTTTAATTTTCATTGGACACCGAAGTTCCCATCCGGTCGTAGCTTGGTGCAGCTGGTTCTGACGGCAGTACTTGGCGGTGGTTGGAGTCTTAACTTAGATTCCTCCTCACAGAGCCCTTCGTTTCACCTGAGCGTTTTATTTCATTGCTTTATAGTTGCTAGGTTTATTCATATAATTGCTGGCTTTTGTGAAAATGAAGAGCTAACAAGTTCTTTAAAAGAGTGAAGCACATTGGAGCGTCAGAGAAGTGGGAGGAAGAATCCCCCTTTCATTGTGTTCATAGGTTGTCTGCCATGCACTCTGACTTCCGCTTCCTTAGCTCAGAGGGGAGGCAATTGCCTTTTCTTTTGTGACCATTCTCATTTCTGAAAAGTGAGTCCTGAACAGATAGACTCCATCCTTTATGAGCATTGGATTTCTTGAGTGAAGACGTGTGGTGGAAGTGAGGGGCTCCTCACCTCCCAGGTTCATAAGGGTGGGGGGATGGGGGGTCCAGGAAAGCTGAGTGGGAAGTTCTAACATTCCAGAGGAAGGTAATTTCCTCCAGCCCCGTTACTTGAAGCAATAGTCAGATTAGGCAAAACTGGCCCTACGCTGACCTTTAGACCTGTCAGAGAAATAGGAAGACAGACTTATTTTCAGGGGTGAGTCTAAACTTTGAAAAGTTCCACAGGAAGCTACACACGTTTGGATAGCTTTTTATAAGTGGAAGGTGGGGAATACTGCTATTAAATTTTTTAAGGATTGCGCTTCATTTTTTCACAGTTAAAAAAGTGTTCTGGCCATTGCAGGTACTTGGTAAAGTATGGCTGAGGATGATGTAATCATTCTAATGTTTGTTCTCAGGAGAGTGATTATTACTGCTCTGCATTTATAAAACATCTTTGGGAGAGAAGAAATATTTTTGTAAACAGTATTATTTTAGACACGAAGAAGTTATTTGTTAGGCTAGACATTTCGACCTAACAGAAGTGGCTAAAGATGTGCAGCCAGGCTTTACGGCACTGTTTGGCCAAACCCAGCCAGCTCCTTAAAGCTGGGACTGTGTGCCTGGGCTTTTGGGGGGCCTAGAGGTGAATCTTCCATTGTCAACTCACTCTGCCAGTCTCTGGGTCGCCTCTGCTCGGCATCTCATGGGCCTGGGTGACCTGCAGGTGCCTTTCTCAGTCGGGAAGTGTGCAGAATCAGATCAGTGCTCCAGGACGCCGTCTGGGGCAGGACGGTCTGTCCCCTTGACACAGCCTTCCTCCCTGGTCATGCCAGTACTTGCCAAGATGTGTGTAGGACAACAGAGTCACTCTTGAGAATTACGCCACCCCCAGATAGAGTGTGATGGAAAGAGCAGGTTAGCATTTTTGGCTGAGATGCCCACTGGCCATCTTTGGCAGTGTCTGATGAGAGGGTCCCTTGTGCCTACTCTAGGAAAGTGAGTTTTCCCCAGAATAAATCCTCCAATGGCGACCCGGGTAGTCTTTGCACCACTCCCTATCAGGCTGAGTGATCATGCTCCGTGCACATGAGTGCTTGCTGTCAAGTTGTTTCAGTGTGTTTCCAGTCTTCCCTAGAACAGGGGACTTCAGTGGCTGAACGTTAATATTACAGCCCTGACAAGTGTATCCTCACGTGGTCATCACAGCTTAAAGAGCCCAGCTGGCTGCTACTGCTCTTCGTGAATGTGCTCAAAGAAAAATGTTTTTGCATATTTAAACCTGGAAAATTATTAATTCGGATGACAACTCACAATTACTCTGTGTCCCTCAACTCACACTGTAAACACGCGTTTCAACTAATTTAGACTTCATACTCTTGATGAGAGCGCTCAGGTTGAAAAAGGCTGGTCTCACCAATCCAACATCTATAGCAATGTGGTCAAAATGTATCTTCTCATGTTTTACTAATTTGATGTCTATTGTGATCTAGGGGGAAAGAGGTGAAATGTAGATCTGAAGTGTCTGTGGGGTGGGGGGGATGGAGAAGGGATTGCTTGAGCAGATAGTGGAGTGAATGTGGGACAAGATGTGTCTATAAGATGAAAAGTTACTTTCACGCATCATATGGAAGCATTCTTCTAATGCGAGTGATTGTGCTAACTATAAATCATTGGTATCTATACATTGAGGCAGGTTCTCTCAGTTAGACAACATTTGGTTAGTCAAGTCCAAGTTATTGTTTGTACTTGAAAGTAATAAAGCTGCACTACCTTAAAAATACATTCTGTAGTTTTAAGACTATTTTCTTGCCTTCTGTCCCCAACAAATTCAGGAGGGACTTTGCAAAGTTGATCGCGTTTTAGAATGTATTTTTAGAAATGGAACTGCCCGTCGTGTGATCTGAAGCGACTCTGTTCCTTTGCTGTTTCTGCACGTTCTAGAATGTAAGCCCAATAATATAACAATTTCTAAATGAGATCCAAGGGGATAGTACATTGAAAAGTCAAATGCAAGGAAAGAACTTGGGTGAGCTCCGTGAGTAGATACAAATGGGGGGAAGTACCATTATGCAGGTGCCAGATCTTGGGATTATCTTCCTTCCTCCACTATTCAGCCCATCTCCTCGTTGGGTCATTCTTCTTAATTTAAATTTGTAAGACTGCATGTTCACCAAACATCATCCTGTACCTTTGATCCCCAACAGCACCATCATAGGGCAGGCTGTCCTGTTGTACAGAGGAGAAAATCGAGGCCTGAGAAGTGGCTAATTACTTGGAGTAGTGAGCCCAGAGCTTTAGCCTCCACAGACCCAGACCCTAGATTTTCTCCACCTTTGCTTGTTTTCCCTTCCCATTTTCTCCCTACTTCAAGTCTCTTTGCTGCAAACCTGGACTGCTCCCTTCTCCCTTTACCACTTTCTGGCCATTCACACTTTGCTTCCAGGCGTGGAAGCACTCCTTCAAGCACATGGCTTCTCTGTTCAAACAACCTCAGTGAATCCCTATTACCAACAGGGCTGGGTACGGTGGGGAAGAGGGGTCTAGTCTAGATTTATTTAGCCTACCCATAACTGAGTCCTAACTCATCTCTTCAGTTTTTGGTTTCTTTTCCTGGCTTTGCACTTTGGGTCTTCTTCCATCCTCCTGGAAAAGCCCCCATTGTTCCTTTCTGCCAGTGGTAGGGTCAGCCTTGAGGACCCCGCTCACCTTCCACGGCCTTTAAAGCCTCAGCTGGCCAGCATCCATCCACTCCACCTGATTGACCATTCCTGCCAAGGGTACTTAGTTGTGCAATCCATTGGCAGTTCATCCCATTGTAGCTTTTGCAACTGGCAAACCAGTGACTTTCACCCTTGATCCAGAACTTTTTCAAAATCAGGTGAATACCTTATGTCCGCAGCAACAGTGTAAGGTTGAGTTATTACATGATTGCTCAGTAAGTTCTTGGGAACAGAAGTTCCATAGATCATCTTGGGGGCTACGTTAACTGGAAGAAAGATAACTTTTGAGAGGATCAGAACACTGAAGTGAAATGACAGATCAGTGACACACAGCTCTTCCCCTTAGACTCTCCTGTTCTGCTGTATCCTGTGAGCATCTGCATTGTTCTGAGAACATTCGGGCAGAAAGTTTGATGATCATTGAGTGATTAGACGTGGGCAGTCCTTGCCAGTGAGATGTCCTGTCCTTTGCACCTGAACTGCATGTTCTCAGTTTGTGGTAAAGAATCTAACAATAATACAGATTTATAGAGGAAATTACCCAGAGCTCCTATATCATAACAATTTATAATAATTCTTTTCTAATCCTTACGCACATAAGTAGGGATTTATACAGTTGCAAATCATTGTTTTTTATTGTGCTGTCAGAAATGTGCTTCAAGTCTTTTCAGTTACCAGAATACTTTGTAATACTCTTTTATTACCGTAGTTTGCAAAACCTTTCCTGTTTTGGTGAATAATTAGGTAGCTTCCAGTTTTGCTTTTTAGATAATGCTACAAGAACTTCTTTGTGTGTATTTTTTTAAGAGTAAGTTCCCAGTATGAGACTCGGTAAAAGCAAAAGAGAATTCTTTAACATTTTTTGTCACAAACACGGAAGGGCATGTAAAGCACCCAGCTTATTGAACAGCTAGAAACTGAATACCTGTTTGAGTACGGTCACAAAGTCAAGAAATGTCATTTCTGGCTCCCCAGAAACCCTCTGTGTCTAGGAAGGAACACTTCATGGCTTTTGCCATCATATTTATCACATGGCTTTCCAAGTGGGTTAAAGGGATATATGTTGTCACCTGGCTGGATTAAATACATGTTTCACCACAACATTATCAGTTTTGAATTTTTTTTAATTAACGTACATTTATTATTCTGTACCCATCAATGTAGCAGTCAATACTGCTTGAAACGTGTATCATCCTAGAGATGAATCCGTTTTCCAGTGCTTAAAGTTTGAAACACATTACTGCAAAGCCATTATAAATCACTGAGGAGGTATTCGGTTAAAAAACAAAATGATACAGCCCATATGAATCAGCTCTGGTTAGTGGACAGGAGTTTAACAGTATTTATCTGGTAATTCCTGTGTTAACTGGAAAACATCACAGATGTGTTGCCATAATTTTCTTTTATATTGATGTAACCTACATAGCTTGCAGAATTTTATAAAGTCATTTGTTATCTTGGCAGGTAGTTTAATGCACAGATTGTTTGACTATTTTAAGTGTGTTTGCCAATTTAGTAAATCTAAAGAGGGCATCTCGAGCTTGCTTTAATTGACATTTCTTTATGTGAAGACAGAAAACATTATATGTATGATTATTTGTATTTTTTTTAGTTCTGTGCATTTTTCAGCCGTTTACTTTTATTACATTTTCAGGTACTTAAACATTGTTTGAGATGACTTACAGTCACAAATAAAATTTCACTGATCTAGGCATCACTGATTTAGAAATAATAATTAAGCCCAAGGCATGTGTTGAAAGCAAACCTATCCACAGTTACTATTTACCTATCAGTAATTAATGTGCTCTCTCATGAATATGCATGGTCTCTTAAAGTAGGTCTAGTAAGACCCGGAAATGCGGAACAGAGCTCACCAACAGTACTGCATATATAGTGGAACCCTGCTTTCAATTTAATATTTTCCTAATGCAGATGTACCACAGGTGACCAATAGTATTTAAAGGAAAATATGGGCAATCATGAATCAAGTTTTTCTACCAAAATGAACTATGTTTGAAATTTAAAATGAGGAGGAATGAATCCAGAAGGCAACCAAGTGCAGATACCAAGAACATAGTCCTCCTAGTGTTTCATTTTTACTCCTGAAGAGTCAGAGAGGGGTTGACAGGTGTACTTTTATACCTGAAGCCTCAGTGGGTTCAGAGGCATTTTTAATCTTTGAGAGTTTTGGGAGAGCAGACATTCCTGAGCTTGGTATTTCAGCAGATTTAGCCAAGTAGCGCTTGAGCTAGTTGGTCATTCGAGCTTTAAGGGCACAAAGCTTGAAATCTATTTGAGACAGGATCAGGAAAAAAAACCAAAACCATTCGGAGGCTGCATGTCAGGAAGAAAAAATGGAGAGGTAGAAGTAATACATGGAGTGTTACTCATTTCTGCCCCCCACCCTCCTACCCCCTACAAGATTATGTCTGGAGAACAGGATATCTTTATTTTTTAAGTTTATTTATTTTTAAATATTTTTAATGTTTTTTTTTTAAATTTATTTCTGAGAGAGAGAGAGACAGCGTGAGCAGGGGAGGTTCAGAGAGAGAAGGAGATACAGAATCTGAAACAGGCTCCAGACTCTGAGCTAGCTGTCAGCACAGAGCCCGATGCCTCGAACCCACGAACCGCGAGATCATGACCTGAGCCAAAGTCGGGCGCTTAACCGACAAAGCCACCTAGGCACTCCTAAATTTATTTATTAGGGAGCAAGAAGGGGAGGTGCAAAAAGAGCATTGAAGCGGGGAGAGAATCCCAAGCAGGCTCCACACTGCCAGTGCAGAGCACTGTTCTGGGCTCGAAACCACAAACCATGAGATCATGACCTGAGCTGAAATCAAGAGTCAGAGACTTAACCAGATGAGCCACCCACGTGCTCCATGGAGAAGAGGGAATCTCTTATTATTCTCTGTGCCCATAAAACAGGTACAGAATACATTAAACATGGGGATGCGTGAATGTGTGGGTGAATGTGCTTTGTTTGGGTGTATCTACGTCAACTTCCAGTAATTCAAAGTTCTCAAAGTGTGTTTTCTTCCAGCATTTCAGAATTACCTGAGAGGGGTTAGAAATACAAATTATTGGGCCCCACTCAAGGCTAATGACTCAGAAACTGAGGCTAGAGCCTGGCTGGTGATGGTGATGCCCAATGAAGATTGAGAAAACCACTATTATCTAATCTATTCTGCCACCTAGTGGAATGTGTGGGAATAGCATCCGGCAATGAGTGGAGTACATGGATTATATTAAGAGCTATTTTGCACTTACACAGACACCCTGAATGTGTTCTAAAACGGGAGATGCCTTCTTGTTTCCAGTTATTATAGGGCCTGTCATGTCAAGACATCAGCAGGCAGTCTGTGTGAACTTGTCTTTGTTGTTTTACAAGTGCCTTTAAATTTGTACTGAAATTTCCTTTGTCACACACTAGAATAATGCACAGCTATTAAATAATGCTAGGAAGAATAATATATGGGGAGATGCAGATATGTGCATGAAAAAATGGTTAAAATGGCATACAACTTTACTCAAACTAAATCGTTTAAATGTGCTTGAAAACAAAATGAAATGCAACAAAAGGGCAATAGTGGTTCTCTCTTGGGGATGCGATTATAGGTAAATACTTTCTATGTGATTTTTGGGGGGTATTTTCTAAGTTTTCTGTGATGAGTATGAATTATTTTTAAGAATAATATATGTTTTTAGTTATGCAATACAACTGCAAGCATCATTTAGTTTAAATTCCTTCTCGCAGGAGATATGTGTGAAGGCTCCAGCCTAGGGCCCCCCGGGATGCCAAGAAGAAATGGGTGTGGCCTCTGCTTCCTGGAGCTCTGGGGTGGTAGGCACCCAACACCCAAGAGGTGCAATGAAGGAATCACACAGAAGGGAGCTCTACTTAGGGGTGAAAGCCAAGGTTTCCCAGAGGAAATAGTTCTCCCTAAAGTTCCCAAGCTAAGGGACGTCTAGGTGGCTCAGATCTGAGTGTCTGGCTGTGGCTCAGGTCATGATCTCATGGTTCATAAGTTTGAGCCCCACATTCAGCTTTCTGCTGTCAGC